GGGAAAAAGTGGGAAGGAGACAAGAAATAGATGTTCAGTTTCTTTGAGTTACATTAAAATAAAGTTTTCAAAAATTATTTTTATTACTATCTTAAGTTAATCTCAGCTTTATAGACCTAGTAACTGCAACTGACATGTATATAACTTTTCTTTATAACTCACCTTATTTTACTCATTCGAAGATGCACATGTTTTTCACATTTTAGTATTTCCCAAATTGGTATGCATTATACAATTGATGGCATCGAAGAATCACTGTGGGCCAGGTAGTGTTGTAGTTGTTTTTCTTAGTGAATGTGTGAATTTTTTTATAGTTCATATCAGCACTTCTAGCATGTGCATTGTTGATATCACATAAGTTTGTTATTTAAAGTGTTATCTTAGTTGTACAAAACTTTCTGTTAATGTCGTATCATTAAGTAAAAAAGAGCACCAGCATCAAAACATGGGTGTCATTGGTTTAGAAGATTTCAGAGACAGTAATGAAGTACTCTTTCACTAAATGAGGCACCTCTAATGTCTTGAGGTCCTAGAGCAGTGATTTGTGGAAGACAATTTTTCCACATTGGGGGTGGGGAGAGGGACAGGAGGCAGAACTCAAACTGAGTAAAGTTTCACTCCTGCTGTGTGTCCTAGTTCCTGACAGACCATGGACCCATGCTGGTCCATGCCTGGGGGTTGAGGACCCCCAGGCTTGAGGATGAAATTGAAAGGAAAATTTTAAGTGATTAGTAAGCATTGTATCATAGTTTAATGGCACTGATTTTCTTTCTTATGGTATTGATATTATGGATGTGTCTTAAAATTATTGTCATTAGTGACTCAATGAAAGTACGTTGTTTTTCCTTCAATGAAGACAGGAGCCCTTTCATTCATTTATCTGAAGACTTAATGCAGAAAACTTTAAAGTGCACGTCATTGGTTCTTCTTAGATACTTTTACTTTTTACTTCCATTTGTATCAAGTGCTGTTTACTTTAGGGAGTGCCAACAAAGTGTTGTGGGGAAAATAGTGAACCAGGAGTTAGAAGATATATTTTCAAATTCTGGCTGTACCACATACTTATTTGTTGATTGGGCCAAGTCATGCTCCGTTACCTGTATTTCATTATTGTGATACTCAAATGAGAAACATGTGTTAACGTCATAAAAAGTATAAATGCAACTTGTTACTATTGAAAATTTTTATTTGCCTGAACAACATTTAACAATTAAAAATGTTCATGTAGGCACACAGTGCCAACACACTGACAGCTGGGGAGCGCAGCAGTCCTCTGCGGGCTCTGCGGGTCTGAGAGCTAACCTGCCTCAGCTGCCACTGGTGACTTGACAGAGGATTGAGGAAAACCCACCAGGAACTGAAAATGCCAAAACCAATCAACATCCGAGTTACCACCATGGATGTGGAGCTGGAGTTTGCCGTCCAACCAAATATGACAGAAGAATAGAGTTCTCTTTAGGTGGTTAAGGCTGTTGGCCTGTGGGAAGTGTGGTACTTCAGCCTCCAGAATGTAGATAATAAAGGATTTCCTATCTCATTGAAAGTTGATGAAAAAGTGTTGGCCCAGGAGGTCAGGGAAGAGAATCCTCTCTCCAATTCAAGTTCGGGCCAAGTTCTTCCTTGAAGACGTGTCTGAGGAGCTCATCCAGGACATCACACAGAAGGTTTTCTTCCTCCAAGTGAAGGAGGCCATTGTTAGCGATGAAATCTAGTGCCCTTCTGAGACTGCAGTGCTCCTCAGCTCCTATGCCCTGCAGCCAAGCCTGGAGACTATAACAAATGCACAAGTTCAGGTACCTCAGCTCAAAGTGAGTCCCACACCGAGTCATGAACCAGCACAAGCTCACCAGAGACCAGTGGGAGGACCAGATCCAGATGTGGTATGCCAAGCACCAAGGAATGTTCAAAGATCCCAGCGTTATGCTGGAGTATCGGAAGATTACCCAAGATCTGGAAATGTATGGAATCAACTATTTTGAGATAAAAAATAAGAAAGGAACAAACCTTTGGCCTGGACTGGATGCTCTTAGACTAAATACTTAAGAGAAAGACGGTAAGTTGACTCCAAAGATTGGCTTCTTGTGGAGTGAAATCAGGAACAGCTCTTTCAATGACAAAAAGTTTGTAATTAAGCCCATCGACAAGAAGGCACCTGACTTTCTGTTCTATGCGCGCTGCCCCCACCCCCCCAACACACATACCTCTGCATCAACGAGCAGATCCTGCAGCTCTGCATGGGGAACCATGAGTAGTATGTGCGCTGCAGGAAGCCCTACACCGTTGAGGTGTAGCAGATGAAGGCCCAGGCTAGGGAGAAGGACCAGAAGCATCTGGAGCGACAGCAGCTGGAAAATGAGACGAAAAGGAGAGAAACTGGGGAGAGAGAGAAAGAGCAGATGATGAAGGAGAAGGAGCTGATGCTGGCTGTGGAGCTCACAGAGTACACTGCCAAGATTGTCCTCCTGGAGGAGATATGTGGATGCAAGGAGGACAAGGTCAGGGAGTGGCAGCACTGGGCCAAGGAAGGTCAGGATGACCTGGTGAAGACCAAGGAAGAGCTGAACTGCACCTTGTGCTGACAGTCCCCCCCACCGTCCCCCCGTGCCCCCCTCCGTGTATGAGCCTGTGGGTTTCCAAATCCAGGAGAGCTTGCAGGAGGAGAGCACAGAGTACACAGGCTACAGCGCCAAGGTGTCCAGCGAGGGCATCCTGGATGACCACAATGAGTAGAAGCAGATCACCGAGGCCGAGAAGAGGGAGCACATGCAGCAGCAGCTGATGACTCTGTCTAGTGACCTGTACTAGGCCAGAGACAAGAGCAAGAGGACCACAACGACCTCATCTACAACGAGAACATGAGGCAGATCCAGCAGGGCAGCACCAAGCAGCACACCCACCAAGGCCATGTAAAGGCTGGGCTGGGACTGGGCATGGTGGGGCCTCGAGCCTGGGCTCTGCTGAGGGTCACATGCACAGACCCTGAAACTTGCATTTGTAGTCCTCTAAATCTAGACCCCCTCCTTGTACTCGAGTTCCTTTACAAAGAGAGTAGCTGTTTCAGTGAGAATACTCTGGGGCTCGGGCCAGTGGAAGCATCCCTGGTTTATTTTTCCCATTTGAATCATAGTGCCAAATGGGCCTGATGATATTATTATTATTATCATTATTATTATTATTTCACTTCCTGTCTTGTGCCTGGAGCAGGGTTGATTGAATTAATGAGAGATGCTTGTTAAGTCTGAGTAACAAACTCACTGCTGTTATGTGTGATACGAGATTCCATATAATTAAAAAAGCCCACATCGTGAAAAAATGTTCAGCAGAGTAAGGGGCAGCCTCATAGTTCAGTGATTTTGGCAAGATTGAATATGGCAAGATATTTAAGGCTTTAGAGCTTTATTGTCATCATTTAATAATTCATGTAAATGTTTTGAAACATTGTTATGGAAACTTTATGTCTCATTTGAATCAAACCTTTGTGCACAAGAAAGCAAGGAAACAATACAAGGGAGCCCTTTTAGAAACTGTTCTTTGGAAGTCATATTGACCATCTTTTAGCTGTTCTAACTCACTAATTTATGCTGGCATACTGAGGGATGTTACAGAGCATGATGTAAGAAAAAGTCTTTATTTATCATACCATAAAGGGAAGCTTGGAAACAGAAAGGTAGGGATTTAAATAATAAAATCAATGTTAACATTGGTTTTATACTTTTAAATGGCTATTCTGGATGACATTCTCAAAATTTCTTTTGAAAAACTTGTTAAAACTCAGATTTGTATGTCTTTATCAAAAGTCTTAACCTCAAAAAATAATTCCTGGGTATAGCACCTTTGAAAGCGTATTCCAAACACATAAGTTTAATGTGCTCTTGATTCAGCATGTTGCATTATTTATTCATATTCCCTCAGGACGACAAACCTGTCTTAATCATCTTTGTGTAGCTATTCACAGTGTGTATTGATTTGATTTGATTTGATAAATTTAATTATATTCCAACTGAACAAAGTGGTTTTGGCTGCCTGTGGCAGTGAAAACCAAACTACATAGACAGGTGCTGGTACAAAAGGAAAGAGGTTTATTCAGTTGCCAACATGGGAGAATGATGGATTCCGGTCTCAAAGACCACCTCATATTCCTGCTCAAGCCTGCAATTCTCATAGGGATAGGGAGGGGAGGGCTTTCTTTCTCCATCCAATCATCCTGCTAGCTTTTGGCATGCTCAGGCCCTCTCCATTCATCTTTCTAGCTTTTGGTGTACTCAGTGTAAGAACGTTTCGCTGTGCCATCTTGGCCAATGGGGGAGACTCCCTAGTGCTACCTGTCTACCATAACAATGTATAATTCAGTTTATGCATTTTTCTAACCTTTTACATTTCTGTTACCACTTAAAACTTCTGAAGAAATTGACTTGGTAGAAGGTGTTAAAATAAGATTTGGAATTAACAGCCTGTACATCAATTAATTTAAAGTAATGTTTCATTAATAAGAGGAGTAATGTTACTGTTTTTAATTAGCTTATTTCTTGAAAAAGAAATTAAGGCGATGTAAATTAAAGGTATATAATAAAATTAAGGGGAATTTCTGAACATTCAGAAGTGTGGTGAGATGATGTGTGTTCCACTTTAAATTACTTTTTTCTGCTCTATAATATGAATTTTTATTCATGTTTTCCTTCTGCATTGTTGAAGAAATAGTATGCTTCTCTGAGGCAGCATAGAACTTCTGAGAGGTTGGCCTTAAAGAATATAGCAGAAGAAGAAGAACCAAAGGATAGAGTGCCAGAAGAAAGGCATGGCCAAGCTGTAGTTTAAGGGATATAGTTTAGACACGGAGTTTGTATTTATTTGAAATATTTTAACTCATATTTGATTTTTATTTTGGTGTTTATTTTACATAAAGTGCTTTTTAAATTGTCACTACTGGTTGTAATAATATAAAAATGTATTGTTATTTATGAATTAGATTTAATATTTTATTTTATGTGTTCTAAATAAAGCATTGAAAGAGAACAGCTCAGAGGTTGTTCAGCCTTTTCTAATGGGTTGTGGAACCAAAGAACCGAAGATCACTCAGCTATGTTTGGCCGCCATTCAGAGACTCATGTCACATGAAGTTGTGTCTGAGGTAATGTGAAGATTTTATCTGAACTATGAATGTAAGAATCACATTAGGAGTTTTCATAAGGGGAGAATGAAACATACCTGATATTTAATGTAAAACAGTTTTGCAGCCAGCAATATGCTTGAAGGATGTGGCTTAATTTTAAAAGGTTAGCAAAATATTTCATTATTAAGCACCCATAAATAAAAAGATGAAGTGCCTTTTTTCAAATTATTTATAATATAAGTAGTCACAGTTAAGTAATATAGATGATAATTTTGGGAACAAGCAAATTTTCAATATCATTGCAAAGAATACAAGGCATAAAAATTTTTTAAAGGTAGGAAGGAAAATCATGAGTGTTTCCTAGATTATCTGTACAATACTCATTTACAATCTTATGATGGTAAAACAAGGAAAAACATTTCATTACTATGAATCTGTATCCTATCTTGAAATATAATGCTGTTAATTAACCTTAACTTTGTACTTCTTAAGTTCCTTTAATAGAAGTGGTAAATTCTGCCTTTAGGGTAGTATTCCAAACAATGTCAGATTTAATTGAGATTATAAATATGTTGTTAATTTAAATTGCATTTTGTTTTTTCTATAACATATTGTAAATTAAATAAAAATAAGAAGCCGTAGGAGCACATAGATAATTTGCATATGTCCATATTTGTGTCCAGATGAAATATTGTTGTAGACATGAGCTTTGATTTTGACTAGGTATTTCAGAATTGCATGCTATTATTTGCAAATTTTCGAATGGCATATTATATTTTAAAGAAATTCATTTTTTTGAGAAGAAATTTAATTGGTTGTAAGTCTCAAATTAGTTGAGAGACATGTGTTTGGATCTGTATATCTAGAAACATGGGCCTTGTTATTAAAATCAAGAAATTCTCTCCAGGTAAGGTAATGTTTGTATACCTTTCTTAATTAGCGACTTAAGCACATATATTTTATTTGTTGACAATAATTAAAATAATTATTTCACAGACTGCAGCTGGAAATATAATTAACATGCTTTGGCAACTAATGGAAAATAGCCTTGAAGAACTTAAGCTACTTCAAACAGTTCTTGTTCTTTTAACAACCAATACAGTAGTTCATGATGATGCCCTCTCTAAGGTAGGAATCCTGTTTGACAAAGTTCACAAGTGCTTTGAGATGGTATTTGAATAAGCTGGCTGAAAGAGAAAAGCTTGATTTGAACAAAAGGCAACTTCCTTATATTTACTGTGATAAAGGATATTACAGATTAAAAAACATCAGTGCCTCATTTTCCTCAGATTAATTGAAATCAGGGTAGGGTGATGAAGCAAAGCCCTTTGGGTATAGATGACAGGATTAGTTATAAATAGGAAATGGAAAAGAAAAGTAGCAGAGGAATAAGAAAAGAAAAAGAGGAAAGTAACGAGGAAAAAAAATGTGTTTTGAGGCATTAGTGTTCTCCACAACTGCCCTGAGTATTCCCTCTGGGTATTCCCTCCTTCTCCCTTACCCGCCTTCCCCTTTTTTAAAAATTTTATTTATTTTTAGAGAGAGGGGAAGGGAGTGTGAGAAAGAGAGGGAGAGAATCATGGATGTGAGGGAGAAATGTTAATTGGTTGCCTCTTGCATGCACCCTGACTGGGGACCAAACCTGTAACCCAAGCATGTGCCCTGACTGGGAATCCAAAGGGAGACCCTTTGCTTTGCAGAACACCACCACATCAGTCAGGGCTCCCTTACCCCTTTTTAAAAATAATTTCACATATATATGATATGTAAGCCAGATAGTTTAAACCTGTCCATTAAGTAGCTGGGAAGGTGTTCTTTTGGCATTTATACTGGATAATGCTGCATGTATGATAGATATTTCTCATTTCTTACTACTCCCACCCTCCTTGGAATATATAATTGCTAGGCTATTATTTGTTTCACTCTTTAAAAAGTTTTTGAAAACCATTAAATATTTCTAAAGAATAGAAAGTACAGAGTAATATAAAGAACAGTCTAAAATTAATGGTTTATCGTTTAAGAAATTTGTTGGACTTATACTAGTCGTTCTGTTATAATTTGCATGCCTTTAGGATGGATGGCTTATCAAGTAGAAAAACATACTATCAGATTAGGCTATATATAGTATCACTAGAGAATATATCTTCTAGTTATTTTTTGATGCTTAAGTCATAATGAAATTTTATTTAATTGCAAATAGCTTATTTTTTTAAGCTCATATCTGCTTTATAAAATATTTTTTGTATTTTTAAAGAGGGTTGGGCAAAAGTAGGTTTATAGTTGTATCTGAAACAATTTATTTTTATATTATTAATGATTGCATTATTTGCAGTACAAATAACTGTAAACCTGCTTTTGCCCCACTCTGTATATAATTTTGTTGTATGTAGTTCCTCTTGGTTCCTAGCTGTCAAATTTTTGTTCTGAGATATATGTAATTTTTAAAAATTTTATAAAAGATTATTATTTGACCTACCAAAGCGATAAGAACTTACAGTTTTATAAATAAATATAGGATTAATTTTATTATGTTGGTTAATTTGGAAGTGTAATATTTTGGAATAAAAAATGAAGTGTAAAGATAATACAAAATTGAGTAATATGAAAGTTTCTGTACATTTGAAATTTAAAGAATAATAGTGGTATAAAGGCTATTTGTTTTAAAATCTTTTAATCTAATATGATAGGTATAGAATTTAAACTATCATGTTTTTCTTCAAAAATGTTTCTTTTAAAACTGTGAAACTTATAGAACAATACATAGGAGAAACTATACCATGGGTAGACAGACATTTCATAGGTAGGGCAAAAAATCCATGAATCATAAAAGAAGCCATAGAATGGAGGACAATATTTAAAAATATCTGACAAAAGAGTTTTATCTAGAGTTTATATAAAATTCTTACAGCTCATTTGTAGACCACCCAATAACAATGGACAAATGATTTCAACAGACACTTCACAATATAAGATATTCAAATGGCTAATGAATAGGTGGGAATTGGCTCAGCAGCAATACATATCAGGGAAGAGCAAATTAAAAACATAAGGAAATATCATTACACATCCATTAGAATAGCTGAAATTTTAAAAGACTGGCCAAATCAAGTGTCAAGGAGGTAGAATAGTTCTGAACTCACACATACTGCTGGAGGGAATATAAAATTATAAAGCCATTTTGGAAAACTAACTGTTTCTTTAAAAGTTTAACTTATACTTACTATATGATTCAGCCATTTCACTACTAGATATTTATTTAACCAAGGTAAAGAGGAACACATGCCTCCACAGAGACTTGTATATGAAGGTTCATAGCAGCTTTATTCACAATAACCATAAACTGGAAGCATCTCAAATGTCCATCAGCAGGTGAATGGATAAGCAAGAATGGATAAGCCTATGCCATAGAATTCTACTCAAGAATAAAAAGTATAAACTACTGATAAAAAGAACAACATGGATGAATATCAGAAGTATTATGAGTGAAAGAAACCAGACACAAAAGAGTACATGCTGAATGATTCTGTTCGTAGAAAATGCCAGCTGATCTATAGTGAAAAAAGCAGATGGGTGGGTTGTCTGGGCCCAAGGGCGGAGGAAAAAGTGGTCTGTAAAAGAAATGAAAATGGACTATAAAAGGACATAAGGAAGCTGTCAAGGTGATGGAGACTTCTCATATTTCAATTGTGGCAGTAGTTTCATGGGCGAAATAAACCATCAGAACTCATTGATTAGAAAGTTTAGAAGAGAAACAGTTTATTGTATATAAATTACACTTTAATAAAGTTGATTTTAAGAAGAATGACTGCTTTTAAAAATTGTACTTTTATCTATTTATATGCTTAATAGGTTTATATAGAATTTCTCCAGGTGATTTAGTGATACAAGAAACTTTAAGTACTTGTTATTTGCCGAGCAAGTCATTCTGAGGTAATATAGCAACATGTTATTATATACATGTTAAAAGAACCAAAGTGTAAAAGGTGTATTTCACATAACCTTAGCTAACCTTATGTGGCTCTCTATTTATTAAGAGTTTGAATTATTTCAAAGCAGAAGGGTTTTTGTAGTTTTATTGTATGAAAGGGTAGGACTTTTAGTATCTGTGATTGAGACAGCTGAACATAAATTATTTAATTTTGAGTTATATCAGATAAAATATAGTAGTCATGTTCTTCAGTCTTATTTCACACTAAATGAAAATTGGTTTTTTTTTTAGGCAATTGTTCTTTGTTTTCGACTGCACTTCACAAAAGATAATATTACCAATAATACAGCTGCTGCTACGGTGCGACAAGTTGTTACTGTTGTTTTTGAGAGGATGGTTGCTGAAGATGAACGGCACAGAGGTAAAGTGACAAAAGTTGTTTTCTTTTGACTGGTGATTTTTATATCCATGATTTCTCTTTTATTGATTTTCAGCTTTTTTTCCCTATGAACTTAGACTATGTAAAAAAGAGAATACTTTAAAAAATATTTATTTTAACAACATTATTATATTGATAATGGAAATTCAAAAAATAAATACCCTACAATTTTATCACCCTAGAAGTCAACTCTTTATTTTCATTTATATTTCTAATATATGCACAATTTCATAATAAAGATAATTTCACATTTTATACCCAACATAGGATCATATGTATTTTTAGCCAAACATTATGTTATACATATTTTTTATATTACTCTTTTATTTTTGTTGTTATTCTATAATTTAATGAACTAGTTTCCTAGTGTATACTTACATTGTATTTGACATATTAGTATTGTTTTAGTGTCTTCTTACATATATTTTTTTCCATTTGAATTTTTTTAGTGTAAATCACGAGTGGACTTCCTCATGTGAATTTTTGTCTCTGCCTATTAATATGTATTAATAAGGAATATTTATTTAATATAAAGATTAATCTTTTTATTTCCATCAAATATATTTATTGTGATTTTTATCATCTGTTTTAATAATTTAAAATTCCTAAAACCTTAGAAACATGTCCTTTCAAAGAACTGCCAGATAAACTCTTTATTATAGTTTTTGTAATTTGATAACTTTTAACTATAGAAACTTTTTTTTCATTTATTATCCTTATTAGGTGAAAAGGAAATTTTTTATGGTTAGTTGAAAAGATCATAAGTCACTACCATCATGAACAATTTTCTGCTTTATATAATTAGGAAACAAAAGCTTCTACTACTTTTCCCTTTACATATTATTTTTTCCTTAAATTATTGATATCATGCAATATTTCATTTTATTTAATGGTCTTTCGTTGATACTGGTAAAAATGGCAGTACTAGTAAGTATTGGTAATGCTGCCTATTCTAATAATTACTTCAGTTTTTCTGAAATTAACCATTGGTCAGATTTTTTCACATGTAGTTTCAGGCCTTCTTAATCTGTTGGTTTATTAGAATACTTCCACTAACTTTGGTATATTGATTTTTCTGTATTTTTACTATGGGAAATGAAGTTGGAATTCTAGCAGTTTGGAATATTAGGAAATTAAACTAAAAGAATAAAACAGGGCAGTTCTCCAATGTGAATGAATGTCTTACATATTCATAACCTCAATATAATTTCTAGATTGGTAGTTTTAGCTGTGTGTCACTAAAGACAAATATCTCATTTAATACTTTCTAATAAGGTAGAACATACTTTCAAGTAGTTACTTGGACAACAATTATTCAAAACTGGTTGTCAAAATTTACAGTGAGTGCTATTTTATTAATATTCAAAGAAATGCTGAGTTGGGAAGCAAACTGACTCTTAGCTAGTTAACACAAAACTGACATAGTTATTGTGGCAGATCAAGCAGTTAATTCTCTTGACAATGGTAAGGTATATAGGAATTAACTATGGTGGTAAACTTTTATATGTTTGATATTTAAAGGCACATTCAAAGATCATGTGAATTTCAAATCTGTGAAATAAAGGGGCTGGATAATGGGAGACTGGGAAAATCAAATGTATGGATAAAGATGCTCTCCATACCTTATATGCCTTAAAATGAATGTAAGGCAGTGAACAGTGATTTTTATGGCACTGTGATTTTTTGTATAAAAATAGATTACCATTTTTTTTGCATCTTGGTAGCATAGTTCTGAACTTTTAATTAAAGTATACAATTCTATTTTAAATATACCATTTAAATAGTATGCAGTATTTGCTTTATTAAAGGTCATTATAAAGTACTAAAGCCTATCTTATTTTGATTGCAGATATTATAGAACAACCAGTACTGGTCCAAGCAAATAGTAACAGAAGATCTGTTAGTACCCTCAAACCTTGTGCTAAAGATGCATATATGCTTTTCCAGGTATGTCAGTTAATAAAAATAATTTTTATTATAGAATATAGTTTTGAATTTTTATTTTGGAATATTATATGGCCAATTTATTTTTTTAAGTGTTAATTTTTAAAATTGTCAAATTTTAAAGTGTCAAAAGTAGTATTTCAAAAAGTTTCTAAAACATTAAAGAGCATTTATAGCTAAATAACATAATTAAATGTCACGTTTCACTTTGAGGAAATAAAATGAATTAAATATACAACTAGAAAATAGGTAAATTGAGGATGACTAGTCATATAATTACTAGGAAAATTTAAGTAACAAATGGTCTACTTAATATAATTTGACATACAAATACCTGATTTTAACATTACTTGTCATCAGTAAATCTTTTAAGTAAAATAAAATTCATCTGTACTGAAAATTTCATTAATTTGGATCAAAGGTTATGTTAAGTGGATTTTCATTAAATGAACATTAGATTAACCATTTATCTTTGCACTTTATATATTGTAGATAGTTACGATTCATTTATCTGTGTATTCTATATATCATCGATAGTTATATGATTTATTTATCTTTGTACTCTATTGTTGATAGTTATGTGATCCTTTAAAAGTTTACTTACATAATCCAATCTGTCAAAATTTGAATCACCAGTTTCTAAAGAGTAATAACAACTACTATGTAAGAAGAAATAACTTAAAAATTGTATGAACTAAGAGTTTTGAAAAGCATCTTTTATTCCGGCATATGAATGTTTTATTTATTTATCTACTGTTTGACTTATTTTCCCAGGACCTTTGTCAGTTGGTTAATGCTGATGCCCCTTACTGGCTAGTAGGCATGACAGAAATGACTCGCACATTTGGCCTTGAATTACTTGAGTCAGTCCTGAATGATTTTCCACAAGTCTTTTTACAAGTAAGCCACTTGTAGTATCTTGCAACAAAATTAATCTTTAATTCTTTTCACAGATATTTTTCAAGAAAGCAACATGTATTTTTTTCCCTCAGATTAAAAGATAAAAAGAATTCTAGCCTTAGACTTTACACTTGCGGTAATTTAGTGTCTTGCACTTTTGTAGTGCCGTAGCATCTTGCAATTTTAACATTAGAAGGAACCCCTAGAGACTATCTTGTAAGGCAGTCCTCAGTCAATGAGTGTATGAAGGAATGTGGTATTTTTTATATTTAAAACCCAAAGAAATTGTTAATGATTTTTACTTTTATATATAGCTATGTCATTTTTGATGATTTAAATGGAAAAAAGAAGTAATCAGTGCTTAATAAATTTAATGTGCAATAAAAATATTTCAAAACAGAGAGATAGTAGGGAAAACAGTAAGAAAGAATTCAGACTTTTGATTTTACTTGTTAGAAGCTACAAGTCCAAAATTGACTTAGTGATTTACACATGGTTTCTTGGTTAATAGCAGATCTTGAACTAAAATTATCTTTCAACTACTAATATACTTCTTTTCCTAACATGCTGTCTCCCTTAGTCATTTGTTTTATTCTCTGTTCTTACCTACAAAATGTGTGAATTAATGCCACAATGGTAAAACACCCTTTAGCCCAGGAGTTGGGACTGAAATTTTTATTACATGGTTCACAATTTTTGGTATATACTAGGAAGATGTTCGATAATTTGGGGGATAATGAACAGTATTAACTGATGTTTCTTTTTTTTTTTTTGTATTAGAATAAGTAATGTTTAGATACAACTTGTCTAACAGTCTTGTATGAAATGATAGTCATAACAGCTACCACTTTTTGACTGCTTACTACATGCTATGACTGTACCAAATTCCTTATATATTACATTCTCTTAAATCTTCAAAACTGCCTAACAACCAGTTATTCATACTTTTGACAGGAGGAAGCTAAGACTTTCAGAGAGTTAAGTAATTTGTGTAAGGTTTCATTGTAAGTGACAGAGTTGGGATTTGAACCCATGTTGATCCAGATTCCAAATTAGTTTCTCTCCTTATCCTCTCTTTTCGTTCACATCCCACATCCCAACCATCACCTTCAAAGTATATACAAGATCTAGTCACTTCATATGACTTTCTCCACAATTATCCTAATCCAAGCCACCGTCATCTCTTACCTAAATTATTGCATTAGCTTCCTAACTAATCTCTTTGCATCTATACTTGTCCCATTCTGTCATAGTTGCTTATCATATTACATCAAAAATGGTCTTTTAAAACAAGTCAGCTCTCTTCAGTCTTTCGTAAAATTGTTTCTGTAGATGTCATTTTTGCCCAGAGTAAAAGAGGAAATCCTAATAATGGTATATGGAACTTTTAATGATCAGTCTTCAATATTCTTTTATCTTATCTCTTTTCACTCTTCCCTTTGCCATTACTTTTTCAAAATGCTCTGATCCTTGCTGTTTCTTAAGTGACCCAAGTGGACTCCTGCTTTAGGCCTTTGTACTGGTTTCTGGGTCTGGAATGTTTTTTTTCCCATATGGCTTGTTCTCTTGCTTTTTTGAGGTCTTTGCTCAATGGTCAGCTTGTCAGCCAAGCCTTCCCCAACGACTTTGTATAAAAATGACAACTTTTTGTGCACGCCAATATTCTTACCTTTATCACTCCTCTTTATTTTTCTTTTCAGCACTATTACCTCCTGACATATATGTATTTGTATATTAGTTTAATTTCTCTCTTTTTCTATAGGAAAGTAAACTCTATGAGGCAGGGATTTAGTTCACTGTTGTACAGATGCCTATAACAGTGCCTGGCACATGGAAGGTCTTTGATAAATATGTAAATGAATGAATGAATGTATTGGTAAATGAATTTAATTAGAAATTTCTGCACTTGGGATTGTATTTTCTGATTTTGTAGGAAAAGATTTGAAAAAATGTTTCACATTTCAGATTTGTTGTGCCCATGCAATTCTTACTCTTATTCTTCCTGTTGTAATGCAAAGGGAGGGGGGGGAATTATTCTGTGTAAGATCCTAGAATTTACTCCTGTAAAGTTTTCAGAAAGAGATAAATATTTATTTTCTTTCACACATCATTTACTCAATTCAAACAGAATTTACCATTTAATGTGCTGGTCTGTGTGTTCTGTGCCGAGGATATAGAAGTTAAATAAGATAAAATTTTGGGCCTATGGTGATTAAAAGTCTAATTTGGAGAAAAATGTTCACTGAATGATAAGATGTGATGAATGCTGTGAAAAACAATTATAAAAAATGCTATGAGAATGATTAATTTAGGTACCAAACTTGGTGGAGAGTTGGTGATGAATCAAATGTGTGAAGCTTTTACCTGAAGAATGAAGAATAGTTAGCTGGGAGAAATAGGTAGAATGGGAAAAGAATACTCCAGAGCAGTGACCCTAAAAAAGGATCTATGTCTAGAAAACAAGCTGAATAGTGGCAGGGACAAAATTGAACTCAACCCAGGACCCCTTTCTCTAGTACAATTTTCATCCTTTGAGCTCTGAGGAATCTCAACATTAAATGGTTAGGTGTAAAAGGATAAAAGAGACTAAGAACCTGAGGCCAAAAAGACATGAGTGCATCTGAGAAAATGAGACAGATAAAAGACAAAGGCAAAGAAAGCTTCAAGATGAACCAAGTAATCGGTTAAGTCAGGTGCTTCAGAGAGATCTGGTAAGATGAAGACTGAAAAGGCAATGTTTGCTTTGTCCACAGAGATCATGATGAATATGATGAGAATAATTTCAGTGGAGTTGGCGTGGTTCATGGTGATTGCAGAGGAAATCAGGTGTAATCAGTTGAGTAGTGAGGGGTAAAAATGAATACATAGGACTTTAAAGTGTTGTATGTAATATTCATAAATCAACTAATATACAAAATTTAGTAAAGTATGAAAACGACCTTAATTATGCCTTTAATTTTGGCAGTCAAAGAAACTAACTCTAGATATGAGCGTAGAATTTCAAATAGCTAAACTCTTAAGATTCCATTTTGAAGGAAAAGAATTAGGAAGTACATTAAAATGAATATAAAAGTCTGGAAAGAATTAATTTGGAATTAAAAATGACTAACTTAATTTATCTCCAGGAAGTAAATTATACAAGGCTTTTTATCTTTTTATCCATGATTTCTTCTCAAATGAATCTCATTTTCCTCTCTGATGATTGTTTTCCTTGAATGAATATGATTTTTAAAAAATATATTAAAAATTCTGTGATTATGCCCTGGCTGGTGTGGCTCAGTGAAATGAGTGCCAGCCTGTGAACCAAAGGGTAACTAGTTCGATTCCCAGTCAGAGCACATGCGTGGGTTGTAGGACAGGTCCCCAGTAGAGGACACTCAAGAGACAACCACACATTGATGTTTCTCTCTCCCTCCCTTCCTCTCTCTCGCTAAAAATAAATAAATAAAATCTGTTTTTTAAAAAGTTGTGATTGTAAACAAAAAATTTTGTGATTCTGCTCTGTGCTTTTTTGTTGTAAGAATAAAGGATTAGATTGTATGATATTTATGATTACATCTTTGTTCTTAGCCTCACTGATATTTGAATGATTAAAACAAAAAAATAATAAGCATTTTAAGTTAGATACTAAATGTTGATTGGGCCTTATATTGTCAGTAAAATGGGACTACTTACATAGGGAATTAACAAGTTAAGGGAGGTTTTCTGCTTAATGTACCATGACTGTAAGTAAAATGTAAGAATTCTTTGCAAGATTTTTTAGGTTAAAAAAAATTGTATTTTTTGCCCTGGCTGGCGTGGCTCAGTGGATTGAGTGCCAGCCTCCAAATCAAAAGGTTGCCAGTTTGATTTCCAGTCTAGGGCACATGCCTGGTCTGCGGGCCAGGTACCCAATAGGGGGTGCACGAAAGGCAACCATATGTTTATGTTTCTCTCCCTTTCTCCCTCCCTTCCTCCCTTCCCCCTCTAAAAATAAACAAACAAAATCTTTTTAAAAATTGTATTTTTTATCAGCTTTTAGCAGTCTTCTGTTTAAGCAATCTAAGTAGAATAAAGTTATTATATTAACTAATATATCCATGCATGAATGTAATTATCTTTGCACAAAAGGATCAATAAATTATATAACTTTTTATATTTATGTTATTAATCACAGTTTTTCTCCTCAATTGCCTATATTAAAAGCTTTATCTGTTTGAGTTTATGTAATCTATTTTCTTTCTGCTGTTCTTTATGTTTTTAATTGTTTAATGTCCTGCTAAAATTAAAATTCCTTGCAGCAAGCATTGCTAAATCCAAAATTGTTAAATATTAGTTTTTAATTTAGATTCTTTAAGAAAAATCTATTGAAACATTGATGGTCATTTTGATATTACACTTTCAAAAAGCAATACTAATTTCAGAATTGTTTGTAAACAATAAAAAATGAAATAGTAAACTTATAATAAAGCTTAATTATGTACAAAGTTAATTTCTTTCTTCTCCCTTTCTTTTTCTTTTTGCAAATAGCACCAGGAATTTAGCTTCCTCTTAAAAGAAAGAGTATGTCCTCTTGTGATAAAGCTCTTTTCTCCAAATATAAAGTTCAGACAAGGTTCCAACACTTCATCTTCTCCAGCGCCAGTTGAAAAACCGTATTTTCCTATCTGCATGCGTTTGCTGAGAGTTGTATCAGTTCTCATTAAGCAGTTTTACAGTCTTTTGGTAAGTACTATTTTTCATATGTATTTTTGTGTGTAATTGTAGGCAGTACTCTTTTTAGAAGGTGATCTGTTATAGTGTGTTTAGCTTTTTCACCTCAGTTAAGGAAACTTTTATGAGTACCTATAGGTAATCTCCAAGATACTATAAAGATTCATTCAATCCTCTCTTAAGTCTTTCTAGCAATAGGTTTATATAGTATTTTTAATGTACATTAAGGAGATTCTTGGCTTATTATCTGAAAGCAGGTAATTAGATGAAAACTAAAATTATAGTATCTTCAACTTATTCTTTTTTCATTTACACTATTTCATATGTATAAACAAATTAAGAAGTTAAAGATTTGGTGAACTCCAGGATTAGACATTAATTTTGACTTTCAGTTTAATATTATATCTATTTCACATAAATTTATAGATGCAGAATATGTTGAGATATTTCTGATCATAGTTGTATCAATATAATGCCTTATTCTTAAACATTTAAAAAATATTTTTCAGAGAAAATGGTGTATTATATTTCTTTTTACATTGATGTCAAGTCAAATCCAGCATTGTATGATTTTTTTAGCATTCATATTTTTCATTTTAATTTACAAAAAATAATTGGTTCATCACCTACTGTGAGCAGTCAATGTACTAAATGTTAGAGATAACAACATTACAAGCTATTGGATAGTGTAGATAGTTTTTATACTAAAATCTGAGGAGAGCTTTTTAAAATAAAGTTTTTTCTGTATTTACTATATATTGTGTGTGTGTGTGTGTGTGTGTGTGTATATTCTTTTCATATTCCAAATCCACTTATATAAAATAAATTCAGAATAATCTTTATAAGCACTTGTAGTTATTTATTATTTCTGGCCACACAGGATATATCTATAATTCACATTGATGTATGTAGTGCATTGTTTAGCAATATCTGTAGAAAATCAAATGATTTTAGAATGTGTTGGTATTTAGGGATACTATAAGTTATTAGGGTTTGGTGCCAAGGGTTTAAGAGTCTTTTTTGTATACTCATAATTATTGGCTTGGACATTTTTGTTCTACCAAAATTAATAATATGTAAATGAACTGTAGGTACATACGTTTATGAACTTGGTTCATAGTTCCATCTTTCTCTGTAAGGATTAACGTTTAAAAAATTACAATCAGTATTCCCTGCAACATGTAAGGTATTTGATATAATTTGCAATAATTATAGTGAACTGAAAGACTTTATGTATAATTTTGTACAATTAAAATAGAGGAGAATAAGACACGCAAAACACTAATTGGAAAAAATGTAGACACCTCTATGTTCATTGCAGTGTTACTTACAATAGCCGAAATATGGAAGCAACAAAGTGCCCATCAATAGATGAGTGGGTAAAAAAGTGGTGGTACATATATATACAATGGAGTAGTACTTGGACATAAAAAGGAATGAAAGTTTGACATTTGCAACAGCATGCATGGACCTCAAGAGTATTGTGCTAAGTGAAATAATTCAGACATATGATTTCACTTAAGTGTGTAATCTAAATAACAAAATAAACAAAATAAAAACAGATTCATGGATACAGAGAACACAGGGTTGCAAGAGGAGAGGGGGGATTAAAGGGCTTAGTGAAAACAGTGAGGAGATTAAGTACAAATTGGTAGTCACAAAATGGTCACAGAGATGTAAAGTACAGCATAGGGAATATAGTCAATAATATTGTAATAATTATGTATGATACTTGAAATATCAGGGGACCACTTTGTAAAGTATATGATTATCTAACTACTATGCTGTACACCTTACACTAATACAAAATAATATTGAATGTAAAATGTAATTGAAAAATAAATTTTTAAAAATATTTTATTATTTTTAGAGAGGGGATAGGAGGGAGAAAGAAAGGGAGAGAAACATCAGTGTGGTTGCCTCTCACACACCCCATACTGGGGACCTGGCCTGCAACCCAGGCGTATGCCCTGACCAGGAATCAAACTGGTGACCCTTTGGTTCACAGGCCAGTCAGCAGAAAAGTTTTGAGAGGATCCCAAAATCTCTAGCTGGATTGATTGGTGAATATCTTTTCTGTATAAAACTAATCCATAAAGAATAACAGAGTTGACTGTATTTTCAAGTGCCAAATTTAAACAGAAAATTTGCCATACAAATAAAAGGGAAAACATGACCCAATCAAAGTAACAAAATAAATCTTCAGAAACTGACCCTAAAGAAAAGGAGCTCCATTAGTTACCTGACAAATAATTTAAAATAACTGCCATAAAGATGCTCAGTGAGCTAAAAGAGAACACAGACAATTAAATGAAGTCAAGGAAATTGTGTATGAACAAAATGAGGGTATTAAAAAAATCATAGAACCTGTATAAAAAAACCAAACAAATTCTGAGGCTGAAGAATACAATAACGGTTGTGAAAAATTTACCAAATGGGATCAAGAGCAGACTGGATCAAGCAGAAGAAAGAACTAGCAGACTTAAAGACAGGCCATGTGAAATTGTCAAGTCAGAGGAGCAAAAAGGAAAAAGCATTAAGAGACTCTAAGGGACATATGGTTCATTGACAAATAAACCAATATATACATGTCTAAGAAAAGAGAACTGTGTTTTACTCATACAATAACCTCTGACACCAGATGTGGGGATATTCTTCCTACAATTACCAATTCTCTAACAGCCAGGTGTCTTATATTTCAGTTCCATAAAGTGAGTAACAGGTAACCCACAGCCTGTCTAACTTGGCTATAAATGGGAGGTTCCCGTGATACCCTCTTTGGTTTAAATAATTTGCTAGAGTGGCTCATAGAACCTAGGAAAATATTTTACTTGCTAGAGATATCCCTCCACTTTCTGGAAGTTTGTTAAGCCACTTGACTTTTCTGAGACACCTACATTAGTGCCTGTTTTCGTTACCTGAAAGAAATATATAAAGGATTTTTGCTTTCATGAAAAATGTTGCTGTACGAAAGTTGGTCTTTTGTAAAAGCAAAGTGGCATAATGCCAATTATTGATAAGTAGGGGATCCTCTTTGCTTAACGCCATTTTGGCTTACAAGTATTTCCTTAGGAATGCTTTACTTTGGATAAGAGGGAGAAGCTATATTGCTGATTTATTACAAAGGATATGTCAAAGGATACTGGTTATCAGGCAGATGAAAAGACACATAGGGTATATATAGTCTGGAAGGGTCCTACGAGCAGGAGTTTCTGTGCCTGTGAAGTTGGGGTGTGCCACCATCCTAACATGTTGATGTGTTTGCAAACCTGGAAACCTCCAAAACTTCATACTTTGGGGATTTTTATGGAGGTTTCTTCATAGAGATGTTGATTAACTCAACGTCCACCTCTCTCCCCCCTCCAGAGAATTGGAGGTAGGCCTGAAAGTACCAATCTTCTAATCATGGTTTTGTCTTTCTGTTATACACCTGATATCCTGGCTTTCACCAACAGTTACCTTATTAGGAAAAAAGATGTTCCTATCACCTGGGAAATTTGAAGGGATTTAGGAGCTCTGCCAGATCCTCCTATCACTTAGGAAATTACATTTTAGGAGATATATGTCAGTAATTAGGGGTCAAAGACCAAATATTAGAACCCTATACAAAAGGGTTTTAGCAGTTCTGTGTCTGGGGCAGAGACATATATATATATAATTTCCTGTAATTTAACAGTGCATTATGGGAGACTAGGAGAGAAAGGGGCAGAAAGCCTGTTTGAAGAAGTAATGGCTGAAAACTTCTCAAATTGGAAGAGACACATACAAAGTCATGAAGCTTAAAAAATTCAAAGTAGGATTAATCCAAAGAGGTCTATTCTAAGACATTATAATCAAGCTGTCAAAAGTCTTTGAAGCAGCAAAGGAAAAGCAATTCTTGATGTGCAAGGGAGCTCTCAGAAGATGCTAATCAGATTTCTCAGAAATGTCACTCAGAAGGGAGTAGAATAACATAGTCAAGGTACTGGGGTGGAGGGGAGGAGTCAAGAAAAAATATTATATCCAGCAAAATTTTCCTCCAGAAGTGAAGGTAAAATTAAGACTTCCTCAGATAAATGATAACTAAGAGAGTTCATTGCCTATGACTAGGCCAAATATATGTCACTTCCCTATTTACCGTATGTTGCCGTGTATAGTGTGCTCCTGTGTATAATACGCACCCACGTTTTTGGCTCAAACTTTCTGGAAAATATTTTTCATTTTAATTTTTTAATTCCATTTTTATTTATATAGAAACAAAACCAATATCATATTCCAAGTATTATTTTATATATGGACATTGTTACCTTTTAATGCATAACCATAAATAAAATAATGAAAAATGTTTATATAGATGCAGAATTAGTACTACCCATGTATAATGTGCATCCTTATTTTTCTCTAAAAAATTTGGGCACAAAATATGCATTATACACAGCAAAATACGGTGTTCCCTAAATATTATCAAGGTTGTCTTAGGAAGACATCTTCCTCTTCCCCCTCTAAAATGCTACTTTAACTAATTAGCATAAGGCTCTAGGAGGAGAAGACATTCCTTTTCCTTTTTAAAAAAATTCTCACCTGAGGATATGTTTATTGATTTTAGAGAGGAAAGAGAGAGAGAAACATCGAGTGGTTGCCTCCCGTATACTCCCCAACTGGGGATTGAACCCACAACCTAGGTATGTGCCCTGATGGGGAATTGAACCTGCAACCTTTTGGTCTACATGATGACACTCCATTCAACTGAGCCACACCACCGTGGCTTCATTTTCTTTTTCATTTCCACGAGTCAGTTATGACAACAAAGTCTTCTGTTCTCAGCAATAATGCAGCATGTTTACATCTTCATACAGAATCCACATTTTATTTCTATTCCCAAACCAAGAATTACCAAATTATCTTTTATTTTTATAAAACCTGATGCTGAATTGTGTCCCTTCCAATATGAGGGTATTTGGAGATGGAGTCTTTGGGAGATAATTAGGTTTATATGAGGTCATGAGAGTAGGGTCCTTATGATGAGATTAGTTCCCTTATAAAAAGAGACACTAGAGAGCTTGCTCTCTCTCTCTCTCTTCCATGTGAGAACCAATGCACTAGAGAATCAGTGTTCTCCAGTATTCATTGGCGTTATCTTGTTCTGTCAAGTAACACAGTGGTAAAGATAACTAATCTTAAAAAGTTAGTGCTGTTAACATATCTAGATTGCCTAAATGAAATTAGAATACCTTAGTCATTTAGGTGTAGATATAACACCAAGTGTACCATATTCTTTCCCCTTTCTAACATCTGAACTAAGTGCCTCTCTGCCCTCTAAATCACTTAGGCTCCATGCCCAGATATCTTTTTAAGGAAGGTACCGTTAGGGAATTTATGAAACAGAATTATAAGTGGCTAGTATATTTCTTCTGAAATTGACTTCTGCTTCTAAAAAGGAATGAAAGGGATTAAATTGACTTGCCCAACCTAATTTTCTAATGCATATACATTTCTCTAACAGAGGCTCTTATCACTATAAATTCCATGACTCCTGCCTTTAAATATTCTACCTGACTTCAACATCTCATAAGCCAACAGTTATCTTATATACATAATTCCTTGTTGGAAATCTATTAGTATTTCCACCAGGATGACTTTGATTCATCTTAAGTAGCCATTACTTCTTGACTGTTATCCAGTACCAAAAGACTGTAAGAATTTAGAAACATTCATCACCCTTTGTGCTAGTATATAATGGAGTTCATGAAGTATCTTCATGCCACATTTGGACTTACACCATAGGTACTAATCTTGATACCTGTTTCCCTGTGACTGCAGTCTGTTGGGGGAAAGGCTTAACAATTTCAAAATAGGCTCCTTTCATTGACGCCCTTGAGAACAATTCAGTGTCCTCAACACTAGTTCTCTAATCAGACTTTCACACTTGGCAAGGAGGTAGAGCAAAGTTCTAGACCTCAGGAGAGAGGCTCTCTCTTTTACCCCAGTTATAATATTTCAGTGGCTATAGTATAAATTGAATCATTGTTTGATTTGTATTGGGATCACTGTGTCATAGAAGGGATGATACATTCTTTAAGGCAAGTTTGATAACATTAATAATGTCTTTGGCTGTGACACACTCAATATTGAGAGCCTTTGTTTTCTGGCCTAAAAACCTAACTGATGAGCTATCAGTTATATTACCATGTTTATATTTTACTTCCACTCTAAAGCAAAGAGAGCAAAATTTGAAAGACCTACTAATGTTAAAATTCTTCCATAGGTATAACAATTGCCCAGTGAGTCTCTAGCATGATTCTTTCTTTAAAGAGTTCTTTACTTAAAGAGGGTCATTTCATTTCAAAAAAGTAATAATACATTCTGTATTTGTATGCCACTTTGTTTTAGAGTACATTTTTCTCATATTTCTTGGAAAGATGTAGATCCTTTATAAGAAGGTTACCTAGCTTGTTGTCATCCACAAAGTTGGTGTTTAAAGAAGCTGAGCCATCTGACTTCTCATCTAGTGTTTGTCAACTACAACATGTTTAGGACAGTGACAAACCTTTGTCTTATGACCTCTCCAGTCATAGCAGTCTAAGGATAAAGTTGACTTTAATTATCCCTCCTTCCTTATCCTCATGATTATGTCCTACTTTTAAGCATCCAGTTCAAAACACAGAAAGGCATTAGAAATTACCAATTGCTGCCCTGGCTGGTATGGCTCAGTGGATTGAGTGCTGGCCTGTGAACCAAAAGGTCACTGGTTTGATTCCCAAGTCAGGGCACATGCCTGGGTTGCTTGCCCAGGTACCCAACAGGGGGGCCTGCAGAAGACAACTGATGTCTGCCTTGATGTTTCTCTCCCTTTCTTTCTCCTGCCTTTCCCCGCTCTGTAAATAAAATCTTTTTTAAAAATCACCAAGTGCTAAGACTTTGGGCTAAAATTCTGAGGGCTGCTATATTCCTCAAATTTCTTGCCCCACAGTATGAGGTCTGTCCAGAAGGTATTCAGCCATGCAATATGGAAAAGAGAGACATTTATTGAAGAAGATACAAGGTGCAAGGAACATTGTACATAGGATAATGACGTCTCAGTCCCCTTCAAAGTAGGCACCTTGGAATCGCACACAGCTCTCCCAATTGCCATCAGCTGCCCTGTTGTATTTTCTTGACTGTCATTGATGGTCTGAAATCTCTTTCCTTTCAAAGGTGATTTTAGTTTCAGAAAAAGCCAGAAGTCACAGGGTGCCAAATCTGGGCTGTAGAGGGGCTGAGTCACCTGGGTGATTTGATGTTTCATCAAAAAACTCTGCAGGAGATGTGATGTGTTGAGTGGGCACATTGTTGTGATGAAGTTGCCAACCACCAGTTGCCCACAGCTGCAGCCTTCTGAATCATCCGAAGAGTTTCCATGGAGGAATGTTCAAGCTTAATGCAAAATTTGATGTAGATTCATTGCTCTACTCACTCAGTCCATTTTGAGTGCGATGGCCACACAGTACACATGCTCACTCAATGGTGTTTACTGTCCCCACTGACTAGTACAGTGAAATCGTCATTGTTCGTGCATGTGCATTCCAGTCCTCTCCTTGGCTGTCAGGTTGTCATCGATGTCATGCAAGCTGATGGCTGGACTTTTTTGGGACAGACCTTGTATACTCATTAATTTCAAGGCACCCCTAGCTAAAACATCCAAAAACTTGTTACACTTGGAATAGAAAGAAGATTCAGTTCAGGCTGGCAGTCACAGATGTCAGGTTAATTCTTACCTCCCAGAGGTCCTGCTTGTCCTCAACTAATATGTAATAGAAACAATCCTCTAAACTCTGGTAGACTGGTTACATTTTGTCCATTCATTCAGTCATCAGACATTTAATGAATAATCTTGAGAAATGGGCTTTAAACATTATTTATTTACAAACTGTGCAGAACAGATGGTTTATGTTATTAACAGAGGGAATGATAACTGATATTTAATAAATATGTACCAAGGCTTGTTCTAGGTATTTTATATATCTTACACCCATCAACTGGTAAAGGTTCCTTTTCGTTTCCCTACTAGAAAACATAACACTAAACATCCCTTGGCTTATTGCCTTTTTGTTCTTAAACAGCAAAAGAATACATGGAAAAACCATTGTGGTATTACTGAAGGGGTAGAGCATATCCTATCAGCAGATTATGCGACCAGCCAGAAAAGAGGATGATGTGATGGTACATAGTACTTTCTAAAGAATAAGGATAAAAAATAAATCACATTAACAGATCACTACTGTGTATTTTTAGGGATGTATTTAGAGAGACACTAATTTTTTTATTTTTTTTACTCTTAGCTTTTCCTTATATAATTACTTTTTCTTTTTCTCCACTTACCATTAAGAATTTTAACTTAGTTAAAAGTAAGATTTTATTGATTTGTCCATAGGACTAAGTTAAGAATAAGAATGCAATTTATAATACTTAAATTTAAATAAATATTATTTAAAAATCTTACGCTCTTTAGGTAACTGAATGTGAGATATTTCTGTCACTTCTGGTGAAATTTCTGGATGCAGATAAACCACAGTGGCTACGAGCTGTTGCAGTAGAATCAATACACAGACTCTGTGTGCAGCCTCAGCTCTTAAGGTAAACTCCTCAATACCTTGTTAAATGCATAGGTTCTTATTTATGCCAGTTGGGAGAGTTTAAATATTTATTCCCAAATATTTAGTGATTTCTAAGCAAACAAAAAAGTGTATTATGTGCATATGGGGAGGGTAGGGGTATGGGTGTGGAAAGAATGGAAAGTGGTAAAAAGTGTGGTTAGTGGTTGCCATCAGCCGAATTTACTGAGTTAACATGGCCAAGAAAATTTTTTTAGAACATTACCCTCAGTGTGAACCTTTGTCCTAAATTAATAAAATCACTCAAATATGAAGTTTTAAATATAGCACTGAGACTGACTTAATAACATTACTTGCTATAAAAAAGATTGAAAATTTTTAATGTGTCTAAATAGTTTCCCCAACAACATTTAAAATTATCTTACAGGTCATTTTGTCAGTCCTATGATATGAAACAACATTCTACAAAGGTTTTTCGTGATATTGTAAATGCGCTGGGATCTTTTATCCAATCATTGTTTCTTGTCCCTCCTACTGGAAATCCTGCTACAACAAACCAAGCTGGTAAAGCTTATTCATGTTTTTATCTTCTGTCATAATTTACAAGTCACTAGTCCTAGCAGAATTTTATAGAAATCCTGTAACTAGAGAAATTTGGATTACCTAAATGTATTATATCTATTTTATAACATTTTGTTATATTTACTTATATTACTTTATATTTTATATGTAAGTATAAATAAAGACAACATTTAAAGAATAATTTGATCTCACTGAAGAAACTGTGTTTATTTCTCTCCAGAACATATTTTCTTTTCTGATATATTTTCATTTTCTGTAATAACATAACAAAAGCTTAGATGCTAATCTGCATTTTAGAAGAAACCTCATTTGTTGCCTCTCTTTAAAGAGCCTGGTTACTATGTCAGGAGATCTTTTAGTCATTCTTTTAACAAACCAGGTGAACTTGATTTAAATTCGGAAATCAATGTCTTCTTGTTTCCCTTTACTTTCTTTTTCTTCCACTTTTTATTTTCTGATTCATGGCTTTTTATTCATTATTCCCCACCTCTGATAAAAAGTGACTGATGAAAGATATATTAAAGTTTGTCTGTAAACTCTAATAGCCAAAGTATGATTGATAAATTTCATTTATTTGTGTGATACCCATTCCTATAGTACTATTTTAAAAAATTGACCAGGTCTTTGACTACTAGTGATTTGTAATTAAGTAGTAAATTGGTATCTTTGTTATCTTCCCCTTATAAAATAGGAAACAATAATGCAGGTGGCACTGTCTCAGCACCAGCTAACTCAGGAATGTTGGGGATTGGTGGAGGTGTTACTTTACTACCAGCATTTGAATATAGAGGAACTTGGATACCTATTCTGACTATTACAGTGCAAGGCAGTGCTAAAGCAACCTAGTAAGTAGTAGTAGAATTATTTTGTAAAAAGTGATATGGTTGGGAATGATAATTTATCCTAAAATGTTACTCTCTGTATTATATTTTAAATTTTGGACCTAGTATTTTTAACACATTTTAGAACTGATTTTCTTTTATTGTATTTTGAGAAATTTATCTAGTATGGGCTTTATTTATTTATTTATTTATTTTTTGGTACTATTTGGAGATTGTTAACAACATTATTAACTAAAATGTGATTCTTTACCTAGGGATCTATTCAGCTCTTTTATATAGTGTTTTGATTTAAGTATATGGCTTGATTTCAGACCCTATGAACTTAGGTTTTCTAGTTTTACTGAGTTAACCTTCAGCAAATTAGTTCACCTTTTTAAAATTTCATTTTACTCATCTATAAAAAGAGAGCAGTGATATATCAACTATTCAGCCAGAAAATATTGGATTTTTTTTGCACATGGATTAATTAGCATGTTCACATTGGAGCTTCCCTGTTGATTGGCATATTTAATTAATTCATTGTGAGGTTCATTATAAAATTATTTTCAATACCTTCTTTGAAACCCCACATATAAGTCTTAATTGTGTATTCTTTTAGACTTTTAAGTATGTAATAATTTAAAAAGTTAACTGGTTTATAGACAGAAGTAATCAACATAAGTGTTGGTAACATTTTTTTAAAGTATACTTTATTGATTATGTTATTAGTGTTGTCCCATTTTTTTCTCCCATTTATCCTCCTCCGCCCTGCATCCTGCCTCCCTCCAACATTGCCCCCCTTAGTTACTGAAGATGGGTTGTACATTTAAATTCTTTGGCTTAAATGTACATTTAAGTTCATTTCCTATACTATGCTTAACCTCCCCCTGTCCATTTTGTACCTACTAATTATGCTTCTTTTTCCCTGTGCCTTTTTCCCCATTCTCCACCCTGTGCTTCCCTGCTGATAACCCTTCATGTGATCTCTCACCTCAGTGATTCTGTTCCTATTCTAGTTGTTTGCTTTTTTGTGGGGGGGGTGGAGGGGGGTGTGCGCGCACACACATGTTTTAGGTTCAGTTGCTGATAGTTGTTGAGTTTGTTGTCATTTTACTGCTCATAGTTTTGATCTTTTTTTTCTCAGATGGGCCCCTTTAACATTTCATATAATTAGGGCTTGGTAATGATGAACTCCTTTAACTTTACCTTATCTGGGAAGCACTTTATCTGCCCTTCCATTCTAAATGATAGCTTTGCTAGATAGAGCAATCTTGGATGTAGGTCCTCGCTTTCCATGACTTTGAAACTTCTTGCCAGCCCCTTCTTACCTGCAAGGTTTCTTTTGAGAAATCAGCTGATAGTCTTATGGGCATTCCTTTGTAGGTAACTGTCTCCTTTTCTCTTGCTGCTTTTAAGATTCTCTCCTTATCTTTAATCTTGGGTAACTTAATTATGATGTGCGTTGGTGTGTGCTTCCTTGGGTCCAACCTCTTTGGAACTCTCTGAGCTGCCTGGATCTCCTGGAAGTCTATTTCCCTCACCAGATTGGGGAAGATTTCCTTCGTTTTTTTTTTTTTTTTTTTTTTTTTAAATAAAATAGCAATTTCTTGCTCTCCTCTTCTCCTCTGACCCTTATGATTTGGATGTTGGAATGTTTAAGTTTTCCCCGGGGTTCCTAAGCCCCTACTCAATTTTTTGAATTCTTGTTTCTTCATTCTATTCTGGTTGAATGTTTATTTCTTCCTTCTGTTCCAAATCGTTGATTTGAGTCCCTATTTTCTTCCTTTAACTGTTGGTTCCCTGTATGTTTTTCTTTATTCCACTTTGTATAGCTTTCACTTCTTGCTTCATTATGCATCCATACTCAATCATTTCTCTGAGCATCCTGATTACTAGGGTTTTGAACTCTGCATCTTGTAGGTTGGCTGTCTCCTCCTCACTTAGTTCTTTTTCTGGAGTTTTGATTTGTTCTTTCATTTCGGCCATATTTCTTTGTCTCAGCATACCTGTTACATTGTAAGGGGAGGAGCTTTAGGTATTTGCCAGCCCATGTCGTTGTGCTGTGGTGCTGTATGTCGGGGAGGGGTCAGAAAGGGAACAATGCCTCTGGCTCAGCTCTCGCCCCACTTTCAGTAACTTCCCCTGCTACCCACAAGCGAATTGTGGCCTTTTGGTCCTGATTCCCGGGTCAGTGGGTGGGTTTGTGTATGTTCTAGGACCCCATGGGTCCCTCCAACAGACTCTCCTGTGAGACTGGGAGTTTCTCATGCTGCCGCAAGCCCCGCAAATTTTACAGCCAGAGGTTTTGAGGTTTTATTTACCCGTGCTGGAACCCTGGGTTGGTATTCTGTCTCACATCCCAGTTGTTCCTCCTGGTTTATCCTCACTCCAATGTAGGACCACCTGGTCCACAAGCCACCACCTTGCTGTGTGTCCTCTCTCCCCCAGCTGTCCGTTTCTGACCCTCTTACAAATCTGGGTGACTGTTTCTTCTTAACTCCTTGGTTGTCGGACTTCCATGCAGTGCACTTTTCTAGCAGTTCTGGTTATTTTTTGTTTTTAAATTGGTTGCTGTCCTTCTTTTGGTTGTGCGAGAAAGCAAAGCCTATCTATCTATGTCTCCATCTTGATTGGAAGTCCTATATTCTTTCAGTTCTCTGCAGTATGGCCCTCTTCAGGGTTGGGCTTGTAACAGTTTTTGCAACTTGATCTTAATTTTAAAATATTTAAATAAGTGTGTTATATTTTATTAAAAAGTGGAATTCATGTAGTAATTCTAATAAAATAGTACTGAAACAGTAAGGTAAGCAAGTGTGGGCTTTGTCTTAGATTTGTGGTATATACAAAAACTATAAAGTACTTTTGTCTCTTAACTATTTTAGCACTTAAGGTCTGTAGCATAGAATTTGGGAATTAGAGTTTGTGATATTTAGGATTATTTTATCTGTTACAGATGTAGTTTCCCAATAGATCATATGTTCTTTAAAAACAGAGATTTGTCTAACAAGGTGCTTAACACTTACTGGTTTTGTATGTGCCTCTGTAAGGCTAATTAGCCAGGTAAAAATTAGACTCATAAACTTTACCTCCCCATTTGAGTTTAAATTCTTGAATAATAATGTAAATATATTTTTATTGGTCACCTAAATTTTAAAATGCTCAGAGTTGGCACATATTAGAGGTTAAATTGATAGGCTTTAGCATTGGGCTTGGTTTAAAAACTACTGATTAATAACTGTGTCACCTTAGTCTACAGTTTCATCATCTATCTCTTAGGATTTTTGTGAGGAGTGAAATGAGAATATATATAAAAAACTTAGAGTCCCAGGTTGAGAGTAATTGTTCAATAAATGATAACTATAATAGGTGTTTTTATTTTTTATTCTGAGTTTTGCATTTTTTAATAAACTTTCTGCATTATCTTGATTGTGACTCAGTGACTTTTAGCATTTGGAATAAGAAATAATTTTTATCAGATTTTCTTAGTGATTTTAATTTTGTTTTTGATATGTAAGTCATACACCATAAAATTCACCCTTTTACAGTGTATAATTTATGGTTTCATTATACTCAGAAGTTATGCAATCGTAACCACCAACCAATTCCATGACCTTTTTATTCTAGAAAGAAACCCCATAATGATTAGCATTCATTCTCCAGTCCCTTCTCCCCCGCTCTAGCAATCACTAATCTACTTTCTGTCTCTGTTGATTTTCCTGGTCTGCATATTATTTCATATAGAGGGAGTCATACAATAAATATTCTTTTGTGTCATGCATCTTTCATTCAGCATGTTTTTAAGATTCATCCATGCCCTAGGTACTTCAGTTCTTTTTTTGGCTGAATAATATTACAATGTATGGATATATCATTTTGTTTATCTCTTCATTAATGATAAGCATTTTGATTGTTTCCACTTTTTGGCAATAAAAATGCTGCAATGAGCATTTGTCTACAAGTTTTTGCATAGACATATGTTTTCATTTCTCTTGGATACATACCTTGGAATGGCATTGTTGGGTCATATAGTTATGGTATGTATAACTTCTTGAAGAACTGCCAAACTATTTTCTCAAGTGACCACACCATTTTACATTCCCACCAATAATTTGGGTTCAAATTTCTCCACATTCTCAACAATACTTGTTGTTGTCTGTCTTGGAATTATAGCCACCCCAGGGACTAAGTGTCTTTGCCCATGTTTTCTTCTAAGAGATTTTAGTTTTAGTTCTTATGTTTAGGTCATTGATTCATTTTGTGTTCATTTTTGTGTGTTTAATATAGGGCTCCAATACCACTTATTATATGTGAGTATCCAGTTGTTCTAGCACCATTAATTCTTTCCCCCATTAAATTATTCTTTCTATATTGAATTATCTCAACATATTATGAAATTAAGGAAATTAAAACCATGATTTCCTGTTGCCAATGACTTAAGACAAAAGATTTGTTGTTTTTTGAAAGCTGTGTCCTAACCATGGGTAGAAATTGCTCTAAATTTGAACTTGACACATTGATGCTCTAAGCATTATTCTTAACATGTTGGCAGATTATATCTGTGATGATAGGTCAGTTTGATATCTCACAATAATAAATACTTTTTCCCCAGTGTGAGAGCATCTTCCTTTTTGTAGGATTGATTAGATCTGATAGCACCTTATCAGTGTTTGAGATGTTTTATAATTGGTTTAAATCTTACTCTACTTTATATGCAAGTCTTTGTTTTTTTAATATTAACAATTTATGAAAATATTGGCACAATCTTGGGGGAGGCTGAAGGTAAATTATTAAAATAATCAGTTATGGCAGTGGTCAGGCCATAACTTTTCTAATCAGTTTCTTAGAATACCATGAAGGAGGAGGAAACAAACTCTGTGATGTCTACTTGCTTTTGCTATTCTGTGAATAGCAAACTAAATTTATTTCTATAATCTACAAATTATGGAAATAGTTTAATATATTTTCATCATTGTGGCTTCTAATTAGTGTTTTGGTTTTTTCATAATTTCAGCCTAGAGATGTTGGACAAAGTCGAGCCCCCAACTATACCAGAAGGTTATGCCATGTCTGTGGCGTTCCATTGTTTGCTAGACCTTGTACGTGGGATCACTAGTATGATTGAAGGAGAGTTAGGAGAGATTGAAACAGAATGTCAGACTACCAGTGAAGCAGCTTCTTCACCAACACAGTCATCAGAACAGCCAGAATTACAGTCAACATCAGACCAAATGGATAAGGAAAGAGGTATATTATTATGATCTATATTTTTAATTTCTAATTTGAAATTTAGAGACGTTATAAAAATAATTCCCATATATTCTTCACCCTGATTTCCCAGTAGTTAACACCACGCTATTTACATTACCATTCTGTTTATATATGTCACTGTACTTTTTTCTTTTTTTTAAAGACTTTATTTATTTATTTTTAGAGAAGGGGAGGGAGGGAGAAAGAGAGGGAGGGAAACATCAACGTGTGATTGCTTCTCGAGCGCTCCCTAATGTTGACCTGGCCTGCAACCCAGGCACGTGTCCTGACTGGGAATTGAACCAGCGACCCTTTGATTTGCAGGCCAGCACTCAGTCCACTGAGCCACACCAGCCAGGGCTGTACTTTTTTCTGACCATTTGAGAATAAGTTGGAAACATGAGGCCGAATTACCCCTTAATACTTTTTTGAGTGTTTTCTAAAAATAAGGACAGTTTCTCACATAACCACAGTATAATCATCATTAAAAATTTAGCATCAATCCAATATTACCAACTAATCCATTTAAATTTTGCCAGTTACCCCACTAATATCCTTACAGTAGAGGATCACATAATGAATTTGGTTCAAATTTGGTTCCCTGACTCTATACTGTCCTTTAATCTTGAAAAGTTCCTTAATTCTTTCTTGTTTTATATTATCTTGACATTTTTTAACAGTACAGGCCGGTCAGTTTGGGTTTGTCTTCTGGTTTTTTATAATTAGAGTCAATTTAATCACTTTTGGCAGAAATGTTGCTGTGCTATTCTTAGTGTGTTCAACATATCAGGAGACATATAGTATCGATATGTTACATTATTAGTGATGTTATCTTTCATCATTTGGTTAATATGTCCACCATGTTTCCTCAGTGTAAAGATCATTATTAACTTTTTGTGGAGAAATACTTTGAGACCTCTACTATAAAAGAGCTTTCTCTTCTACCTCATTTATTTATTTTTTTCATTTCTTTATATTAGTATGAATTCTTGGATTCCTATTTTATTCAAAGGGTTGTAATCTATAATTATCATTACTTTGTTTGAAACTCAAATTGTCCTTGACATGGCCAGTGGGGACCCTTTTCAAACTAGCTTGTGTGCCTTTTTAACCTATCCTCATGTCCTTTTTTCATTTTCTGAGCACTCTTACTGTCTGATACAACAGATTGTTCCAAGCTCATCTTGGATTTTTCTTGCCCAGTTTGGCATTCAATCATTTTTTCAAGAAGCGCCTGTTCTTTTTAGTGGAGAATAGTATTTAGAAACTAACACATGGGAACTAAGTATGCTTCTTGGCACTTGAACAGGAAATACACACACATATACATATATACACACATCTCTCTACATTAAAAAAAATATTTCTTTATGTTAAATACCAAGAGGTCACAACATTTTTTCCAGTTACAGTTTAATATGACAAGTTTATATTTAACATTCCATATTTGTAATTCCCTTCTCCCACAGTGAGCAACTTTATCCCATTTTACTCAATGTGTTTACTTACTTGCTCAGTTCCCAATGTATGTAACCAACCTTCTGGCTAAGCCAGCTTATATTGATTCATTCCCAGCCGTTCACACAGGGTGAAAGTTTGGCCCAATTAATGGGAAGGGAATAGGAATTGATCTACAAATAACTTCCACTATGAGAAGCTAATGTCCCTGAATGTCAATTTCTTCCATCTTTTTAAAATAGTGGGAATGAGGGTAGGGGAGAATAATATCGATTTTAAACAATAGCGGGGAGGATGAAAGAAAATATGTCTGGAAATCCTTTGTAAATTATACAGTTGAAATGGTGGTTTGTTTTATATAGATATATAATATCAGTTTATTTATATACAGAAAGATATTGATATTTTAAAATTACTTAGTTTTAAGACATTGAATTCTGAAATTATAGTTTTTCAGTTTTCATATATTCAGATATATTTTAAATATAATAGCTTTAGTATTGAAGAATTGAATTGTTGGTGGAATATTTGAAATATTGTGAAATATAGTGACATCTGTAATTATCATCAAATTTTTTTTTTCTTTAAGTTAATAGAGCTGTTTGGGAAGAAATGGTGAATGCTTGTTGGTGTGGTCTACTTGCTGCTCTCTCACTCCTTCTTGATGCCAGGTATTAAGTCTTTATAAATTTTATGTTGCATGTGACAGTTAACACAAAAACCACTGAAGTGGTTTATCTAAATTTTCCCTGAGAGATGTTTTCTAATTTTAATTTTTTATATGTATATTATATTATTTGTGGGTGTATTTTAAAGATCCTATTTATTTACTTTTAAAGAGGTGGAAAGGGAGGGAGAAAGAGAAGGAGAGAAACAATGATCAGGCACCTCCAGCACGCCCCCAGCCAGGGACCTGGCCTGCAGCGCAGGCATGTGCCCTGGCCGGAATTGAATCCATGACCTTTCTCTTTGTTGGATGACGCCCAACCCACCAAGCCACACTAGTCAAGGCTATTCTTTGTTTTGATTCTTGTCCCCCATCCTATCCTTTCCCTGCTCCCTACCAGAATTGTTGTGACAATTTTAATAGAAAATACAATCATAAAATTATTTCAAGCCTTACTACTACTTCATGGTTATGATAATTATGTTATTCAATTTCTTTGTTTCTCTTCAGAATTGCAGAACTCACAGATTTTAAAATGCTTGATATTTTTAATTTTCAGATGTATATTAGTTAAAATTTCTCCTTTAAGTATATTGATCTTGACAATTTTTAATAGATTTTCTTAAAATTTCACTGAATACCTAATTCCACATAATGTTTGCCCTATAGTTAAAAATAAATTAATCATGTTAATCATATTAAATGAAATACTTTATTTTTTTTCAGCACAGATGAAGCTGCCACTGAGAATATTTTAAAAGCTGAGCTGACTATGGCTGCTCTTTGTGGAAGACTGGGCCTAGTAACTTCAAGAGATGCCTTTATAACTGCAATATGCAAAGGTTCCCTGCCTCCCCATTATGCTCTTACTGTATTGAATACCACCACTGCAGCCACACTTTCCAACAAATGTAAGTCTTCAGTTTATTCAAAATTCTATTCATCTAGTTTTGCGGGGACATGGCACAGAGGAAGGATTATAAAAATTCTGAGTTCAAGGCTCTGCTTTTCTACTCATGGACTCTGTGACCCCTGTGAGAAGCTAATATCCTTGAACTTCAATTTCTTCCCGTCTTTTTAAAATAGTGGAAATGAGGGTAGGGGAGAATAACACCAATTTAAAATAACAATTGGGAGGATAAAAGAAGATGTCTGGAAATCCTTTGTAAATTATAGCGTGGTTGAAATGATGGTTTGTTTGTAGAACTGTAATGTTTGCAACCACTTAGATTAAGTTGATACTCAAAAAATTTTTTTTCTTGTTGAATACTTTCAGATCAATTTATGTTTTTTTATTTTTATTTATTTATATTTTTTTTATGCATAGCTGCTGCCCAAATAATAAAACCCCAGATCCAGGTGTCTTGTTAGAAGAAAGTATTAAGCAGAATTAGAGTAAAATTTTTTTAAAAATTAATAAAATTTACATAAACATTTTAAATGCACATAAAATATAACTTTAGGATTATATTGATTTTATTGATTCATGGAAAAGAAAGTCAAATACTTCTTTGCCACATAGTTTCTTCACATAAAGTTACAGGAATATTATCAAGTGTGCAAAACTGCTAATTGGAGTTTGTAAAGCTCTCTTTTGTAAGATTGTGTCAAGTTTTGAAGTTTTTCCATCTCATGCCTTATCAATATAATTTTTCTGTTAACTATAAAAAGGGAAACTCAATTGTTAAATTATTTAAACAAAAACACAAAGGTTTACATATCTTTTTCCATATTCAGTTCTACCTGGACGCATCCTAGTGTTTGCAAATGTTTACTGTTGAGTTGAGCAGGGGTGGGAGGGTGCGGGCTGAGGTTTTTCTTTGCAGTATTGATTGCCTTGGGAATCTCCAGTGTTCTTTGTAGCCAGCTGTGGAAAGAAACTATGTTCTCTGAAAATTTCAAGGGATCCCTCTCTCTGTCCTCTCTTCCCTAGGAATGTGAAGAAACAAATGCCACAAAAAGTATAACTAGTTAATTTGCTTTTAACCTGAGAGCCTGATTTATTTATGTATTGATTGATTGATTATTTTACACCACTCCTGGAGTTTCTATAAGTGTAATAATACTTTGGCTTCTGGGTATTGAACTGAAAGGAAAAGTTTTGTGACTTGAGTAGAAGAGAGCCCTGGGATATTGATATGGTATAAGTTTTTTAATTTTCAGGATTTTGGTAAATCTTCAGGCCCTGATCTAAGCTAAAGAAAGAAAACTTTAGATTACAAAAAAAGCTGTTGACACTTAACATTTGTTCGTATACAGATGTGAAGGACATTTGAGAATCACTCCTAAAACTAGGAAATGCAGAGGGTACATTTACCTAATTTACTAATCTCTTGCATCAGGCCAGTATTATATAATTTTATGTTATATTTAGAATGGTCCCATACAATTTGCAGATACTGGGCTATGACCAGCTTTATTACACATTTTTTACTTTGTTACATGCAATATAAATATATTTCAATATGATAATTCAGTTTTTAAACTGAAAATGTGAATTTTGGCCTCTAACAGAAAAGTTTCCTGGGAATACAAGTTAAAAATAGTGTCCTAATTCTAAGTGGTTTTGAAGAAATCTACCAAAGTTTTATAATTTGTAAAAGTTACATAGAAAACTATGTAATATTTGCCTAACTTGGCTTTGTTTTTGCACTTCCTAAATTTTAAAAATGTTTGCATATAGGTAACTAAGTGTCATAGTTGAACTTAGTGTAATCAAGTTAATATCTTAAAATGTAACATTACTTTGAATGCAACATAAAAAGTATTTCTGAATTATTTAGGTATTCTTTTCTGTTGTAGCATATTCCATTCAGGGCCAAAATGTTATGATGATAAGTCCATCAAGTGAATCTCACCAGCAAGTAGTGGCAGTGGGTCAACCCCTAGCAGTCCAGCCTCAAGGAACAGTAATGGTAAAGTACTTGTTCTTTTCTTTGTTACCAATTAACTTTGAAAGAAACTTTTGTACCTTTTTTGGTATGTTTGCCGAAATTCATCTTTATACTTATTTACTTTCTTTGACCTGGGTGTTATCTTTATAAAAAATTAGATGAATGTTCAGTTGACATTATCGAAACCAACTATGATAACAACTTGAAGCAAATGAATTTGTTCTATACAAAACCATCCAAACCTATTTTCTTAATATTTTTGTTTTTATTTTTTAACAGTTTGAATGTGTTAATGCTTCTTTATAAGCTTTTAATTTTCAAGAATGTGTAACAGTTCTATCTTTTTAAAATATAGTTAACTTCCAAAAATATCCAGTGTATGAGGACTTTACTTAACTTGGCACATTGTCATGGGGCTGTTCTTGGAACATCATGGCAACTTGTCTTGGCAACTCTGCAGGTATGTTGTGGTCTCTGGGTCAGACGTCAGTATTATTTTTATATCTGAGTGCTAACAATAAACTAAACAGTGCCCATTGGTACTTTGAATAGCTGAAGGAATAGGCATTAAATATGAAAAAAGGAAAGTTGGAAAGGAAAGAAGACATGGCTTATATTGTATGAAATAATGGAATACGTCTCATAATGGCCTAAGTTCTACCACCACTTATGCTTGATATAATAAGTATTTTATATGTGTATTAATTAGTGATTTAAATTTAGTTATTACAAGCTACTACTTAATTTTAGTTTTTAAAAGTTATACTGGATTTTAGTTTTAATTATTAGGATCTTTATGTTCAAAAATTTCTTTAATTTTTAAAAAATATTTTTTTCAGCATCTCGTATGGATTCTGGGATTAAAGCCTAGTAGTGGTGGTGCCTTGAAACCTGGGAGAGCTGTAGAAGGACCCAGTACAGTAAGTTCTAGTCATTCTTACTCAATTAGTGCTTCCCAAAATGTTTATATGTTACCTTTACTTTTATTCTTTTCTTAGGTTCTGACAACAGCAGTGATGACAGATTTACCAGTGATTTCCAATATCCTTTCAAGACTGTTTGAAAGCTCACAGTAAGAGTCAGGTTTTTAAATTGTTAGAAACAATTTTTAACTGTATGTTTTAGATCAGAATGTCTTATTTCATTTTTTATTTCAGGTACCTTGATGACGTATCATTGCATCATTTAATAAATGCACTTTGCTCCTTATCCCTAGAAGCAATGGATATGGCTTATGGAAATAATAAGGTATGATATTCTACCTTTTTGTTTTAAATATGATCTATTATTTAGTTATTATAAATTAGTTGTATACTCATTATGATATGAGTGTCTTACTAGTGGGACCAATACTTTGTAGGCCAACCCTACGCTGGAATTTTTATCACTTATGGTTGTTATTTGTTGAGGGAGCAGTGAAGAGAACATGATTTGGCTTGTGATATGTCCCTGTATGTATAGGATGAGGCAAAAGTAGGCTTACAGTTCTTCATATGGAAAACAATAATAGAAGAAGAAACTGTGTTTCATGTATTCTTTAATTATAATTTTGCCCAGTCCTTAATTATAATTCTGTATACTGTGGCTTGTCATCAAGGCTCATGTGACTCATTTAAAGATTAACCAATAAGATCTATTCAGGCAATGTTTTGTATATTATAGCAGATAGCTAAAGAATTACAGAGACATTCAAGTGTTTAAAAATATGTATTATAGTTCACTCCAGATCAAGTCAAGAATAATATAAAATATATTGAAGTAATAAATTTCTTGTTATCCTCAATAATTCTATATCTTTAAGATTAATTCTTAAAACAAAAGTAAAATGTCTTTAATATTTTAAACTTTTTAAAATCAAATTTTAGCCAGTTTATATGATGATGTCTTGGGAATGTATTCACTCAACAAGTACAGTGCTTGCTATGTACATGCCACTGCTAGAAAATACAAGATTTCTACTTTCAAAGAGCATGTTAATTACTTGGCTCATGGTTAAGTGGCAGTTAAGGTGGAGCAAGAGTCTAAATAAATAGTATAGTAGTAAGTGATATAACACTAATTCTCTGGATCCTTATTACAATTTTAGACATTTTTGGTACACATTTCTACTAACATGAATTAAGATTATCAAGATGAATTAGTGTGATTGGAGCTGGAAATTGAAAGAATGGTAAGATTTAGATAGGTAGGAAAGGGCAGTATCATGGAAATCAAAAGAGAAAAATGTTACAAGAAGTCAAGATTAGCCCTGGCCAAGTCGCTTAGTTCATTGGAGCATCATCCCGATATGCCAGGGTTGTGGGTTTGATCCCCAGTCAGGGCACATCAAAGAATCAACCAATAAATGCATAAATAAGTGGAACAAAAATCAATATTTCTCTCTCTGACTCACTCTCCCCTTCCCTGTCTTTTCTCTCTCTCCCAAATCAATTTTTAAAAACCTTTAAAAAAAGTCATTATCAATGAGAACTAAAGAAATTAGAGATTTGATTGTTATTAGTGGTAAGAATAGGTGTGATATTTCCGAGACGGTTGGAGGGAACAAATGCTGAGAAAATGGACACTAGAATAAAAATGACTTCTATGATAATGTGTTCACATCTCTCCATTTTAGATATAATTTAGCAAAATGAAGAGCTAATTATGGACTAGAAATAAAAAGTTATAAAAATATTCAGTATAAACTTTATAAAAATGTTTTTTGATGGATTTTTATTGTTTTATTTACCAAAATTCTTCTTCTAAAGTTAAACTGAAATATGTTTTCTCTCTAGGAACCATCTCTTTTTGCTGTTGCTAAATTGTTAGAAACTGGTCTAGTTAACATGCACCGAATAGAAATTCTGTGGAGACCTCTAACTGGCCATCTACTTGAGGTAACCTCTTTTTAAAAATTATTCTATTTATTTTTTTAAGAATAAAGACATAAACAATGAGCTAAAGATTCTGGATAACCATATGCAAAGTCAGGATTAACTTTTTTTCCTGTACTTATATCATTGTATTTTATCACGGACTAAATGAAGTCCCTTGCCTTGTTAAAGGAATAGGTTCCTTCTGTTTTTGGCTGAAAATGGACCGTAGAGCAACAAAATTTCTGCAGTCTCCTTAGCTGTTAGCTTGGGACCCCTTTTATTTTAAAATCTTTTAATCACCCCATTATCAGCTAGTTCTGAAACTTCAAGCCAATTGGGGGCTGAGTTAGTAGTAAACACTGTTCCTTTATAGCCTTTTCATATGATTATCAGATAGATCTTTTACAAAGGGAAAAACCTGGGTAGTATCATTAATTATAGATAGCGCCAGGGGATTTTATCTGAATTTGTAATCTCTTGTATTCAAGTTGGGATGATTCTTAATAATTAGCTTCTTCTTAATAACAGCTCCTTCGGTCAGTATACATGTATATATATGCAGCTTAGATTTAGGATATTGTGATCATTTTATAGTAGTTTACTAATCAAAGAAAGGTATTAATCTTAAGAAAAACAAACGTTCCTGTGCCTTTCTTTTATATTTTTTCCATTTCATTGGGATTACTTTATGAGCTATTAAAGGACATATGCAGATTTCTTTATTATGGACATTCTCAAATGACAAAAAATATGTTTCTCAAATTATAGCACATTATTTATGAAGGTAGACCTAATTAGGGATATAAGTATCTGCTTCCTTTGTTTACTCTAATGACATCATTTACTTTTATGAATTCTTCTATTTTCTGTGACTTGCTTAGTTTCATCTTTTATCTCCTGTCTCTCTATTGCTTCCTCTTGCCCATTATTCAGAAGGTAAGCTTACTTATATTTAGATATAATATTTTCTTCAACTCTTATTGATAAATATTTGATGTAATGTTTTCAATGTGTAGGAATAAAAAAATGTAATGTTTTCATTTTTCTTTTCTCAAATTGATGTGGGAGCTTAAGTATATAAATTATTTATTTAATTTTTGGTCAATGTATTTACCTTCAGGTCTGCCAGCATCCAAATTCTCGAATGAGAGAATGGGGAGCAGAAGCTTTAACTTCACTTATTAAAGCAGGATTAACATTTAACCATGAACCTCCACTTTCACAAAACCAGGTAGAAAAAACATCTTTTTTTAAAAAGAATGTTTAATGTAAAATCAACTTTTTCCATATGTAATTTTTTTCTTAATCTACCAAATGTCTGATATTCTGAAAGTGGGTTTTGTTGCTTAATAATCTCTTGTATGTAGGCTATGGAGCTCTTAGGGAAGGTTGATACACCTAGTTTTTTTGAGATTACCTTTTTCTAAAATTATAAAAACTTTCTTGTGCATGATATAGAACTAAGTTAATAAGATACCTAAAATTGGTCCCCCAGCATAGAAGTTTCAGTGTGCAGTCCTCATTTTGGGGCCTTACTTTATTAGTCTGTTTTCCTTTGGTCCTTACCTGTCTCTGACTTTATCTCTCTCATTACTCTTGCATGGGGAGAAAACAAGTGGCAGGAGAGGCCAGCACAATGAAATAGATTTTTATTTTTCAGTAATTTAAGAAGTTATTTTATACTTTCTTAGTTTACATTACTCTTGAGTCCTTTGTCCTGACTCCCCTAATCATTCACGTATATCTAATACAGTTTTCCAAAAGTACACCAAAGCTTTATTGTTTGAAGATTGATTAGGAATAATGCATTTAATTGCCTTCATTGTCATTATCTTACTGTATTGTGATTGCATTTTACCAATTTATTCATCAAATACTTCTTGAATATATACTGTATGCCAGATAGTGTTTTATATTTTGGAATAGAATGATGAACAAAACAGAAAAGTTCTACATTTCTATAGAGATTTTATTTTAGGAATTTCACATTTTTTTTCCTACTGCAATTTATTTGAAAAGAAAACCCGTGTTTAGGAAAGACTCCCAAACTCTTTTTACAAGGCCAGTGTTTTCATAATTTCAAAACTAGATAAAGACACAACAAAGAAAGAAAACTACAGGCCAATATTGCTGATGAACATAGGTGCTAAAATCCTGAACAAAATATTGGCAATGTGGATCCAGCAATACATTAAAAAGATCATACACCATGATCAAGTGGGGTTCATCCCAGGGATGCAAGGATGGTACAATATACACAAATAAATGAATGTAATACACCATATAAACAAAATGATAGGCAAAAATCACATGATCATATCAATAGATGCTGAAGAAGCATTTGATAAAAAAAAAATCCAGTGCCCATTAATGATAAAAACACTCAACAAAGTGAGAATACAGGGAGCATACCTCAACATAATAATGGTCATATACAAGAAACCTACCTCCAGCATCATACTCAATGGGCAAAAACTAAAAGCTTTCCCCTTAAGATCAGGAACAAGACAAGTGTGTCCGCTTTCACCACTCTTGTTCACATAGTCCTGGAGGTTCTAGCCACGGTAATCAGACAAGAAAAAAAAAATGGAAGGCATTCATATTGGAAAGGAGGAAGTAAAACTGTCTCATTATTTGCAGATGACATGATAGTGTCCATAGAAAATCCTATAGACTCCATCAGAAAACAACTCAATCTAATAAGTGAATTTGGCAAAATAGCAGGATACCAAGTCAATATTCAGAAATTGATGACATTCTTGTATACCAACAATGAAATATCAGAAATAGAAACTAGGGGAAAAAATCCTATTTGCTATAGCAACAAGAAAAATAAAGTACCTGGAAATAAAATTAACCAAGGAGGTAAAAGATCTATACTCAGTACACAACAGAACACTCAAGAAAGAAATTAAGAAAGGTACTAATAAATGGAAGCATATACCATGTTCATGGATTGGAAGAATTAACCTCATTAAAATGTCTACTACCCAAAACAATCTATAGATTCAACGCAGTTCCTATTAAAATACCAATGGCACATCTTACAGATCTAGAACAAATATTTCAAAAGTTTATATGGAACCAAAAAAGACCTCAAATAGCCTCAGCAATCTTGAGGAAGAAGAACAAAGAGGGATTACAATACCTGATATCAAACTATACTACAAGGCCCCTGTACTCAAAACAGTTTGGTACTAACATAAGAACAGAAACATAGATCAGTGGAACAGAATAGAAAGCCCAGAAATAAACCCATGTCTCTATGGTCAATTAATATTTGACAAAGGGGGTAGGAACATAAAATGGAGTGAAAATAGCCTCTTCAATAAATGGAGTTGGGAAAACTGGACTGGTACATGCAAAAAAATGAAACTCAGCCACCAGCTTACATCATTACCAGAAAAAACTCAAAAAGGATAAAAGACTTAATTTTAAGTCATGACACTCTAAAAGTCCTAAAGGAAAACCTAGGCAGTAAAATTTCAGATATCCCTCATGACAATAATTTTGCTAATATATCTCCTAGGGCAAGGAAAATAAAGGGGAAAATAAACAGAAAGGACTACATCAAATTAAAAAACTTCTACATGGCTAAAGAAACCATCATCAAAACAAAAAGAAAACCAACCATATGGGAGAACATATTTGCCAATGATAGTTCAGACAAGGGTTTGATCTCCAAAATATATAAAGAACGTGAACAACTCAACACCAGGAAGTCAAACAATCCAATGAAAAAATGGGCAAAGGACCTGAATTGACACTTCTCCAAGAAGGACATACAGATCACCCATAGACATACGAAAGGCTGCTCAACATCACTAACCATCAGAAAGATGCAAATTAAGACCACAATGAAATATCACCTCACACTAGTCAGAATGGTCATCATTAATAAATCAACAAACAAGTGCTGGCAAGGATGTGAAGAAAAGGGAACCCAGTACACTGTTGGTGGGAATGCAGACTGGTGCAGCCACTGTGGAAAACAGTATGGAATTTCCTCAGAAAACTAAAAATGGAACTGCCTTTTGACCCAGCAATTCCACTGCTGTGAATATACTCTTAAGAATCCTGAAACACCAATTCAAAAGAACCTATGCACCTCTGTGTTCATAGTAGTGCTATTTACAATAGCCAAGTGCTGGAAACAGCCTAAGTGCCCATCGGTAAATGAATGGATAAAAAAACTGTGGATACAGTGGATTAAAAAATGTGGATACGTACACAATGGAATACTACACAGCAGAAAGAAAGAAGGAACTCCTACTTTTTGCAACAGTGTGGATGGAACTGGAGACTATTATGCTAAGTGAAATAAACCAGTTGGTGAAAGACAAATACCATATGATCTCACCTATAAGAGGAATCTAATGAACAAATAAGTTAACAAGCAAAATAGAACCAGAGGAATGGAAGCTTGGAACAGACTGACAGTGACCTGAAGAGAGTGGAGGGAGGGATAAGGGTGAAAAGAAGGGGAAGGGAATAGTCAAGGAATATGTATGAACAGCCCATGGACATGAACAACAGGGTAGGGAATGACTGGGAGTGGGGACTGGGACAGGCAGAGGAGGGCAAAGGGGAAATATTTGGGACAATTGTAACAGAATAACAATAAAATATTTTTAAGGAAAAACCTTTCTTATGTATATCCTTACTGTCCAGCTTAATACCTGGCACAGAATGGGAAGTTAACAAATGTGTGTTCAGTCGTGAACCAAATAAATGAATCTTTTATTCATTCATTTCAGAGAGAAGGAAATTAAAAATGAAGCAGTGAGCATTGACTGGTGTGGCTCATTTGGTTAGAGCGTCATCCTGTACCAAAGGGTTGTGGGTTTTATTCCCAGTCAGAGCACATGCTTGAGTTGTGCATTCAGTCCCCATTCTGGGCATTTACAGGAGGCAACCAGTCAGTGTTTCTCTCTCTCCTGTTCTCTCTCTAAAAGCAATGAAAAAAATGTCCTTGGGTAAGGATTAAAAAAAAAAAAATGAAGCAAGTGCTTTCAGATGCTGAGAGAATGGAGTTCCTCCCTCCCTCCCCCCCTTCTTCTCTCCCTCCCTCCCTCCCTCCTTCCCTCCCTTCCTTCCATCCTTTCTGTTTTTAACTTTCCAGCAGATTTTTGGTTATCTGTCATCTTTGTTTACCAGTTATTCATTTTTTAGGAGTATTAAGAATTTCAAATTTAAATACATAGGGTATTCATTAATACAGTAAATGAAAGGCAATTTTAGAAATTGGAAATTGTTTTCCTTTCTCAACATAGAGCTAGATATTGCATAGATATATTTTCTTTCGTGAGATTCATTTCTATATGGGTCTGTAATTAATATCTTAACATCTAAAGATTGATTTTTATTTTCTCTTGTTTAAAAAAAGATATAGATAACAAAATAACCTCTGATGATTAGTGTTAGAAAAATTATAGTCAATGTTTATTTTACTAGAAAGATTTCTATTTACCATTGCAAATCTGAGTGGAGGTAAATTTAAACTAAAAAGGAACAGCAGAGTCTTTTTGTCTTTTGGGGCTTCTTATTTTAATTAGTTTCTTGCCCCCTTTTCAGAGGCTGCAATTGCTTTTACTGAACCCATTAAAGGAGATGTCCTGTATTAACCATCCAGATATTCGACTCAAGCAATTAGAATGTGTGTTGCAGATTCTTCAAAGTCAGGGAGATAGTCTTGGGCCTGGATGGCCATTAGTGCTTGGAGTCATGGGAGCAATCAGAAATGATCAAGGGTAAGTGTTTAAAATTAACATCCAAAAAGTAATAGAAAAGGGAAATCTATCCTAGGTTCTTGTAGTAGTGGTAATTTTTTATGTATGCCCTTCCTGCTTAAGTTCAAGATCTATAGTTTCTTAGCTCTACCCTCAAGTGACTACAGTGAATTATTAGGGCTCACCTTTGTTTTGGAAGGATGGAAAAATTACCATTTATTTGATATTTGTACAAGAATATGAGGTTCTTATAAGATAAATATATCAGTCTAACAAACTGTAACACATTAAAAGATTGGACTTTTTGTTAAATATTTGCATCTAGGACTTAACCTCTTCGCATATATTAGTCTAAGAAATTGCTTTTAAGTGACTTTTTCATTGATTTGTTCATTTATTACTCATTTTTTCTGTGCCTACTATATTCTAAATACTGTGTTTGCTAGTTATTCTGATTACACAGATAAATAGTTTCTGCTCTAAAAATAGAACCCTATGAAAAAGGAACAAGCCCTATAAGTAGGATATTACAGTAAGAGAGTAGTTCCTTATGCCGCAGAAGAACAGGACTCCAATGGGAGAGGGACTGTGTCCCTGGAGAAGGGCAGAACCCAAATTATGAAGGATACTATATGCTTTTATAAACTATTTGGACTTGCTCTCAATACATTTGTGAGGCATTTTCAGCTTTTAATCAGAGGAGTGATGTGATCTGATGTGCATTTGAGACACGTTACTGTGTCAATCAGCATGGAGGAGTGGATGGGAAAGCCTGCAATGCTCTCTAGAAATAGAAAAGAGGAGGTGGACTTGAGCTACTAAACAGGTTGACCATAGGGGAAAAGGGGAAATAGGAAATGGAATCAAGAATGACTCCCAGATTTCCGACTTAGCTCTGGGAATGATAGTATCATTAACTAAATAGGGAATGCGCATTTGGAGTAAATGTTTGGGTTTGTGTAATTTAAGGTAGACCATTGCAGTGGAGTTAGCAGACATTTGGATGTATTTCTTTATAATTCTGCAGGAGAATTCATAATATCTTGTTTTGATGACTGGTTTAGAAGTTTTACATGATTGAGATGCTTGAAACTATTATGGAAATTTAATTTTTAAAATTTGCCTGTAGTAATAAATTTCCTTAAGTCCTACAAAATATTGAGATGATTAAAGTAAAAAGAGATCAGCCATAGCCTAAATGAAGCTGAAGTATCTTCTCCCAACCTGCAGTGCAGCTATAAAATAGGATGCTGTTGTAAGGATGAAATTAATTAACACATGTAAAACGCTTATTAGAAAGTGCCTGACATAGTAACCACTCTACATGTTAGCTATTATAATTCATTTTCTTCATCATTTTCACCACCAGAATTTATCTTAAAAACAAAATACTTATTTTTTATATGAAATACAAAATTACTCTTTTATAGACTAGATGTAGAATTTTAAAATAAGATACAGTATAGCTATAAAAGAATAAGGAACTAATTTTTATTCAGTGAATATTTCATTGTGTATATTTATATATGCTAAGCATTGTGCCAGATACTGGGGCTACAGTGGTAAGAAAGGAGTTGTAGGCAATTGATTTTCTCATTCAGTGTCTTAAGTTTTCTTGGGCTAGTTGGTGCAGAATACAAATAGAAATAATATGGCATTAATACACATTTTCCGTTCCTTTTTCTAGTCCACTGTTTTTATTTCTTATACCTGTGAAACTTTAAATTAATTTTAAATAAGCATATCTTTCTAAATTCTATATAAATTTTGAAGTATACTATACTATATCATCTATAGTAGAAAAGATTTTCTTGTTCAAATTTTAAAACAATTTTGCATGGTTCAGATTACTGTAAGGTATTTCCCCTTACATTTCTTTTAAATGCATGAGAATAGATTTATTTTCTTTTGTGTTTTCAGAGAATCCTTGATACGAACTGCATTTCAGTGTCTTCAGTTGGTTGTGACAGATTTTCTACCAACCATGCCTTGCACTTGCCTGCAGATAGTTGTAGATGTTGCAGGTAGCTTTGGGCTTCATAATCAAGAACTTAATATTAGTTTAACTTCCATAGGTTTATTGGTAAGTATCACTGCTTTTCTTATAATATATATAATCTAGAAATTACTATTTGCAGTTGAAGTGAATGCTAAGTAAATATGCTTTTGGCTCTGTAAGAGTCATTTAAATAACTCTGAAATACCAAACATATCTTACATTAAGAATTAAATGACATCATTTAAGAAATAATTCATTAATAGCAGACTATGTGGAGTAATTTTGATATATTAAGCTGAAATTTGGCTTTTACAAGGTTTGTCTTGGGAGAATTTAGTAAACAAATTATAGTATATACAAGACTGTTGACTCTAGTGTAAAAGCTAATTGATTTCCAATATTATTTTAGAAGCAACATTTTCGTATACTACTTACATAATAAATGAAGCTTCCATAGAAGGCTTTATCATTTACAGAGTCCTATAATTTATCACCACTGCTTTGTTAACTATAAGGAGACAGCATGTGATGATGACGGGTTTAGACTATAGAAACAGATACATGAAGTCTGTCCAGAAGGTATCCAGCATGTAATATGAAAAATAGAGACATTTATTAAAGAACATAGAAGATACAAGAAGCATTGTACATAGGACAGTGATGCCTAAGTCCCTTTCAAAGTAGGCACCTACCTTGGGATGTCACACAGTTCTCCCAGTTACCATTAGCTGCCCTGTCATATTTCCTTGAATCTCATCGATATAGTCTGAAATCTCTTCCCTTTCAAAGATGATTTTATTTTTGGGAAAAGCCAGAAGTCGCAGAGGGTCAAATCTGGGTTGTAGGGGGGCTGAGTCACCTGGGTGATTTGATATTTCACCAAAAAGCTGCAGGAGACGTGATGAATGAGCAGGAGCTTTGTCGTGATGGCGCTGCCAGTCACCAGTTGCCCACAGCTGCAGCCTTTTGAATCATCCAAATAGTTTCCATGGAGGAATGTTCAAGCTTAATGCAAAATTTGATGCAGATCCATTGCTCTACTCACTCAGTCATTTTGAATGTGATGGCCACACAGTACACATGCTCACTCAATGGCATCTACCACCCCCACTGACTAATACAGTGGAGTCATCATTGTTCATGTATGCATATCGCAGGCCACTCTCCCTGGCTGCCAGGTTACATTAATGTCGTGCAAACCATTTTTGTTATATTAGCAATGGCTGGACTTTTTCTGGACAGACTTTGTATATGTATTTTAATTTTGTCTGCTTCTTGTTGTTAAATTAAATTATTGACCTTCTAAGCCTCATTTTACTTATTTTGAATATAAAGGTGATAAAATCTAAGGATATTGTTACTATCATACAAAGTAAACACGTAAAGTTGTCAATATAAACTTATTTAAAGTCAATTATTTAGACACTTTTAAATGTATATTATAACTCAGAAGTTTTAATAGTCAAATACCCCTCACAAGCTAGATAACCTAATATTTTACTGTTAAAAATATAATCCTGGGAAAAAACAGGCATGTTGTGTATGTATATAATTGCTCCCAAAGAGTGATCGGTTAATTCAGTATTGATTTCTACTAGTTAGTGCCTCTTTTATTTTATATTTATGTTCATAGTTTTTGGACTGTACATTTTGACCATTGATGTAATTCTTATTAATTTGTATACCTTACTGACTTGACAATGAAGTCATAAGATATATCCAGAGATAGTAATTACTCTTGTATGAAATTATAAAATATTATTCAGTGATATTAAGGAATTGTTAGTAATTTTGTTAGGGTGATAATGGTATCAGGGCAATGTTTTTTAAAGCCCTTTTCTAGTAGAGATTATAAAATATGCATCAAGTAAATATGACAAAATATTAACAATTTTTATGTCTAAGTGTTGGGTATATCAACATATTGATATATTTTCCCTATTTTTTTGTGTTGTTGAAATTTTTCACATTAAATTTTTTTTTAAATATTGTTAGCAAAATATTTCTCCCCCATATTTTTCTGAAATCAGATAGAGGCACTTGACAGAGGAAGAGATGTTTTCATTAGATCCCTTCTACTAAATTCCTGAAGTAATTTTTAGAAGTTTTATTCTGAAAGGTAAAACAACCATAGATTACACATTTGTTTATGTCTTTAAAGTAAAATTTTGAAAAAAGTGATATTTTTCTACTTTGCTTTTTAGTGGAATATTTCAGATTATTTTTTCCAAAGAGGAGAAACTATTGAAAAAGAATTAAATAAAGAAGAGGCAGCACAGCAAAAGCAGGCAGAAGAGAAAGGAGTGGTTTTAAATCGGCCGTTCCACCCTGCACCACCGTTTGATTGCCTTTGGTTGTGTTTGTATGCAAAACTGGGTGAACTGTGTGTGGACCCACGTCCTGCTGTCAGGAAAAGTGCAGGGCAAACTCTGTTTTCAACAATTGGTGCACATGGAACCTTATTACAGCATTCAACATGGCACACTGTTATTTGGAAGGTATTGTAAAATAGCTTGAGTTATCAACTTTTAATTGGAACACACTTATATACTTTTTCAATTAAAGTTGTTCCTATTAAGTTTTAAAGATGAACTTCCATGCATTTGTGCACTTGACAAAATTGAAAATGTTAGCTTTGTCATATTTTAAATTGTACCTTACGCAGAACAGATTAAATATTTAAACCTCATCTCTCTTTTTCTGTCTTCATCTCTTATCTCTGTGTCTGATTTCTGCCTTTGCCCTTCCCTTTTCTCCTTGTTTTCCCAAGTGGTAAAAATAGGACTTCCTAAACCACTACACCTAATTCAAATAGTATAATATAATAAAGTGAGAATTTTATGAATAAAAGAATATTAACAGTGGTGACATTTACTGGCAGAATCATCTAACAAAAATAACCTTCAATTGATAAATTCTACATATTTGTTCATTAAATATACAATTTTTTTGTTCTTTTTTAATCTTTTTAAAACTTTCTTACAGAGTCAATAGCTGAATAGTGAGCATCTCCTCTTTGCTAAAAGACTCTCCCTTTTTTGTTCTGTTTTATTTTAATAAAATTCTATGTATTTTTACTGCTTTTATGAATTTTTAGATCAGTAAATTTGACAAAAGACAGCATAGTAAACTTTAATTGTATTTAACAATGCTTTCAATTTAATACAGAGACCTCAAAATATCTTCTTAAAAAAATAATAATGTATGTTCACTAATAATAATTGAAAGCCTTGCTTCCTCCTGTGTCTTCTGTCCCAACTTTATCCCCTGGCTCTTCAGATCACAACCATGCTTCAGTTTCTGTTACTGCTTAAAGCAAACTGATATTTTCTCTGATTCCTGTTTTCCTTTCAAACAGCTTCATTGTTAATTTTGCTGCCTAATTCTCAGTGATTAACTTCTTCCATCGCCTCCCCTGCACTCCTTTATCCCTTATAATTTGATTTCCATATTATTCTACTTCAGAGTCTCTTAAACCTTAACAAGTAACAGAATCATCTAGAGGACTTGTTAAAGCACAGATTGTTGAGCTACCACCCACTGTCCTCTAGCATTTCAGACTCTTTTCCCCTTAGTGTGAGGCTTGAGAATTTGCATATTTGTGGAGTTCCTGGATTATGCTAATGCTGCTGATTCTGAGACCATATTTTGATAACCACAGAAATCGTTCATAGGCTACAGGTGGTCTTCTAATTGCCAAGTTCTTAGCCTACTAATTTTTTTGTTTTTGTAGCATTTAACACTGTTGATTAGTTTCTCCTTGAAATGTCTTTCCTTGGTTTGTTTCAGAGCACGCTTCTGCTTCTTTATTTACTTTTTGTTGTTGTTCCTATTCCTTGTTCTAAATCTATTCTTCAATTGTAAACATCCTCCAAATCATAACTACTTCCTGTTTCATTTTTCCAAGTATCTTCATCTAATCTTGAGGTGTGAGTTATAACTTCTATGTAGATGTTACCTATAATTGTTATTTTTTGCCTAGACCTCTCTCATTAGTTTTGTTCTTTTTTTATACATTACTCCATAGAAGCTCCACGGACACTTCAACAGTTTTAGACAATGTTCTATCCATTTTAACTTTTCATTTTCCATGACCTTAAGGATAAACTTAAGAATATAAGAACACCTCAGTTGCTCAGTTTCTTCTAATATATGGGGATTATATTTTTCTAACAATTCCTAATTTCCCATGCTATGTTATCAGTTATTTTCTATATGTATTTTTATAAATATTTAGGTTCTCTTTCATCTATTGGACCGAGTTCGAGAATCTTCTACCACTGCAGACAAAGAAAAGATTGAATCTGGAGGTGGCAATATTCTCATTCATCATTCAAGGGACACAGCAGAGAAGCAGTGGGCTGAGACGTGGGTTTTAACATTGGCTGGAGTAGCAAGAATCTTCAACACTAGAAGATATTTACTGCAACCTTTAGGTGTGTATGTATTACTTTTCCTGGTGATCTAAGTAATTTATGTTAAAGGAAATTGGGAAAATATAGAAGATTTTTTTGAAATTCATATATAATGCTACTTCCCAGGAATAATCTTAACTGCTAGTCTTTGCGTTTATATGTGGTGTGTGCCTAAGTGTTATTTTCATTCATTTTATTGAGAAAATATGTATTGGATACCTACTATGGGCTAGCCTCTGGGGAATACAATGAGGAGCAAAAAATGCACCATCCTTGCCATCATGGGCATGAAAAAAGAAGAATAACTACATTAAAACAGAAAAATTGCTACAGTTGTAAATGCTACATACAAGCGATGTATTGTGAGCTTATAATAGGTATTTAACCAGGTCAGTGAGGTCCTGATAGGCTTCCAAAAGAACGTGGTATTTTATCTGAGATCTGAAGAGTATGTAGTAGCTCATCAGGCTAAGGTAAAATGAAAGGTGAAGAGACTTAGAGGCAGAAAGAACATGTAAAAGAAGAGAGAATTGAGGAGGGGATGTTGAGGACCCTAGTATATGTGAAGGTCTGGAATGAAGAGAACGAGAGAAAGTGTGATTCCAGATTGTAAAGTTAGAGAGAAGCCTGTTGAGGACCCTAGTATGGTTGAAGGTCTGGAATGAAGAAAACAACAGAAAGTGTGATTCCAGATTGTAAAGTAGAGGCCAACCAGACAAAACTTTGGAGGTCATGTTCATAATCTGAGACTTCATTCTAATAGCAGTGAAAAACCACTAAAAGGTTTTATTCATGATATGACATGATCAGATATGCAGTCCTAAAAGATCATTTTGGATGGTATGAAATGGCAGCAAGGAAGAATGGCAGGACACTATTAGAATTGTCAGGAAGCTGTTGGTATAAATCAGTGGTTCTCAGCCAGGACTAATTTTGTCCTCCCCTCCTTCCCCTCAAACATTTGTCAATGTCTAAAGATGTATTTTGTTTTTTTTTCATGTCACAACTAGGAAGGGACAGGTGCTGCCAGCATCTGGAGAAGAGAGGCTTGGGATTCTGCTACACATCTTACAATGCATAGGATAGCCCCCACATCAAAGAATTATTCAACCTAAAATGTCCATAGTACTGAGATTGAGAAACCTTGATGTAGATTATAGTACCTTCAAATCTGGTGGTAGCAATAGGGGTAGTAGAAAAAAATAAACAAATACTTTTGCACATAATTGTGAGCATGTTTACATATTATTTTTTAGTTTATCATTTTATGTTTGGCTTCTTTTTCTGTTTTTTGATAAAGCATAAACATATTTACTCTTTACATAGGCATTTTTGTGTGGTACTCTTCATGGGTATTTTTTGCTTTTTTTCAAAAATAACTTAATAGTGCTTGATCCATTTTGCACTATAAGTATCCTAATATATAGATCTATTTATATATATAAACATATAGGTATATATCTTTTTAAAAGAAATATAGTTATATATAGATAGATATAGATATATAGTTATAAAAGATATATATAACTATCTTTTCTATATATATCTTATAAGGATATATATTTCCTTATATATATATCTTATATCTATATCCTTAAAAAGATATATATATCTATGTATATATGAGGATATATAGATTATATATATCCTTATAAGATATATATAGAAAAGGATATATAAAACTATATATCTTATATAATATATCCTTAATAAGAATATATTATATAGAATATACATCCTTATATAATATAACCTTATAAGAATATATTATGTTATATCTTAACAATATCTTATATTATTAAGAATATTAATACTATATTTTATATAATATATCCTTTTAAAATTATATATTCTTATATATTAGATATATAATTATTAGATATATATTAGATATATAAGAATATATAAAATATACTATATATATATAAAAAGATATAGTTCCTTAAGGATATATAATATATCTTAATATATAGATATGTATATATAGATATAAGATATATAAGGATATATATATCCTCATAAGACATATAGGGATATATATCTCTATATCGAGATATATAAGGGGGTGTGTGTATATATCTATATGGATATCAATATAGATATATACATAAGGATATATATAGATATATAGATATATATATAGTTCAGCATAAGCAGTGCCTGCTTGAGTGTGGTTCATAGGGTAATGGTATGGGTGTGATAATTTATAGTTTTAATTCAAACATTTCACCTAAAATGTCATGTGGTGTGCTTGAGTGTGATATTGTTATGTTACAGAATTACATGCTTATGATTTTGTGATAAAAAATATTGCAATAGAAGTCTCAAACAGACTGCCTGAGGTCAGACAGGGACGACATCAGACATCATCAGAGGCAGATCCAGAAAGTAAAAACAGCGGTCTCCTACCATAAAAGTTCACACCACAAAGGCAGGAAATCAAGACAGATCAACTTAAGCAGAAGCAAAAGAGAAGAGTCTTACAAATAATGAGAAGACAAAGAAATATGCCCCACTCGAAGGGAAAGGAGGAGTCCCCAGAAAGAGAACTAAATGAAATAGTGGCAAGTAAACTATCAGATCCTGAGTTTCAAACAGCAGTTCTAAGGAAGCTCAATGAGTTCAGTGAGCTCAGAGAGAACTACCAAAAACTATAGGGAAACTATGAGAGGCTTACTGCAAACTCTGTCACCATGAAAAATGACATAGAAACTATCAATAAGACACAAGAGGAAATGAAGAATACAGTTTCTGAATTGAAGAACACAGCAGAAGGAATCAAAAGCAGGCTAGATGAAGCCAAGGACCGAATCAGCGAGCTGGAGGACAAGGTAGAAAAAAGCTCCCAGAAAGAACAAGAACATGAAAAAAGACTCAAAAAGAATGAAGAGGCATGTAGGGAAATGTAGGACAACCTGAAATGTAATAATATCCATATAATAGGGACACCAGAAGGAGAAGAAGATGAGCAAGGAATAGAGAACCTGTTTGAAAAAGTAATCATGGAAAACTTCCCTAACTGGAGGAGAGAAAAAGTCACACAAGTCCAGGAAGCACAGAGGGTCCCATTCAAGAGGAACCCAGTGAGGCCCACTCCAAGACACATCATCATTAAAATGGCAAATATCAAAGATAAACAGAGAATCCTAAAGGAAGCAAGGGAGAAAGAGGTAGTAACATTTAAGGGAGCTCTGATACAGCTAGCAGATGACTTCTCAACAGAAACACTGCAAGCCAGAAGGGAATGGCAAGAAATATCCTAAGTAATGAAAAGAAAAGATCTGCAACCAAGACTGCTCCACCCAGCAAGGCTTTCAATTAAAATGGAAGGCAAAATAAGGAGTTTCCCAGACAAAAGAAGGCTAAAAGAATACACCTCCACCAAACCAGCACTGCAAAATATGCTAAAGGGACTGCTTTAAGATGAAGAAAAAGTTTCTATGAATACCCAGTTCCTTTCAGAGTTGCCAATACTTGATATTACCAATATTTTTAAAACTCATTAATCTGATTGTGACAATGATGTTATTTTAATTGTTCCTTTACCATTTATTGAAACTAAACCTGTTTTAGTATATTTATTACCTATTTCTATTATTTTTTAAAAAAAGCTTTAAATGACTTTTTGGTATTCTTTATCCATTTATTGATTAAAGGTTTGTAGAACTTTATTCCCTAAAAAAAAACAAAAAACAAAAAACAAAAAAAAACAAACCTATTAACCATGTTTTAGATATGTTGCAAATACTTTCCTATTCTATAACTTTTTATATGTATAGATCTATATAGTCTTAAATGTTTAATATAGTCATATGGTCAATATTTACTCTATAACTTCTGGATTTGCATATTTTACTTCAGGTCATGAAAAATATTAGTTCTTTTTTCTTCTAAAACTCCTTAGATTCTATATATTGATTTTTAACTTACCTGAATATTTCTTGTATTATGTGAAAAATAGGGCTCTATGTTTGTTTTATTTCAAGTTATAGTGGTCCATGCACCTTATTTCTTGAATAAACCTTATTTTACCCATTGATTTGAAATATCAACTTGATCATATATTACATTGTTAGGTATATATGTTTGTCTCTAGAATGCTCATTATATTTCATTGATCTACTTGATTATTCTTGTGTTGGTGTCACAGTGGTTTAATTGCTGAGACTTTATAATGGTTTTACATTTTTTTAATATTTCATAATTAACTTTGGCGTTTATAAATAAATAAATAAATAAAATTCATCTGCATTTAAGAGAGAGAGAGAGAGAGAGAAATGAAACTCCTACCTTTTGTGACAACATATATGGAACTGGACAATATTAAGCTAAATGAAATAAGCCAGTTGATTAAAGACAAATACCATATGATCTCACCTAAAAGTGGACTCTATTCAACAAAATAAACTCATAAACAAAATAAACTCATAAACAAAATAAACAATAGGCACAGAAACATGGAGCAGGCTGAAAGTGGCCAGAGAGGATGGGGAAAGAGGACAATGGTGGAAAGAAGGGGAAGTGACTAGACAAAAACGTATATGAATGACCCATGGACATGGACAACAGAGTGGGAATTGACTGTGAGACCGGGGGACGGGGGCAAGGGATGGGTGGAGGAGGTAAAGGGGTAAAAATAGAGACAACTGTAATAGAATAAACATCATTTATAAATTTAAATTTAAAAAATATTGTAATAAAAAGGGGCATTATTTGTACCATGCCCTGTGTGTGTGTCTTTAAATCTTATGTAAAATGTATGTACAATGAAATGTACCAATTTTAACTGTACATTTGCTGAATTTTGAGAAAATAAGCATCATTTTAATACCTCCATAATAGTTACTTTATTTTAAAAGCTAAGAACTAATACATATAGATTTAGATTTTTAGAAATGAAGATAAGCAGTTTGCATCGCTTTGATAATTTTTTATAACTTGAAGACTACAAATGGATTTTATTATTGTATAATGAGATTCATATTTTAACGTAACCATGTGCAATGTACTATAGTCTTTCAGAAAAATAACTTTTTCCTCGACATACAGTATATTAATAGAGAAATTGCAGGTCTTTTCCCCCTATGGCATAGAATATTCTACATCTGACACTCTGTCACCATTCTCGTTGGTAAATACAATGTTTCATATGATTTTTGAATTAGGATGGCATCAGGTGAAAGTGCTTTTGTTTAACTATTTTGATAGTTTTTAAACATAATTTGTCAAAGTTCTTTGAGCAGTTTACTGAAAAAATCTTTTTTTATTGTATATGAAAATCATACTTCTATTTTTAATAAAAGAAATGAGTATAGAGAAGAGGCGTATAACTAGGAAGGTGTTATGGTTTGTCCTGTCAAGGAAGAGTATTACTTATTGTTTCATACCACACCTACTTCTAACTTTTCCTATTAACTGAATGCTTCCTTGGGCATATGAGTTCATCTGGGTTTTGTTTGGCGTTTTTTTTAAGATTTTATTTATTGACTTTTTAGAGATAGGGGAAGGGAGGGAAAAAGAGAAGGAAATAAATATCAGTGTGTGAGAAATATAGTTGCCTCTAACACATCTGCAACTGGGGACCTGGCCCGCAGCCCTGGCATGTGCCCTGACTGGGAATTGAACTGGTGATCTTTTGGATCTCAGGCCAGTGCTCAGTCCACTGAACCACACCAGTCAGGACATTTTCTTTTTCTTTTTTTTAAATATACATGTTTTTAAAGTATATTTTATGATTATACTATTACAGTTGTCCCATTGTGTTTTCTCCCCTTTATCTCTCTCCTCCCTGTTCTCCCTTCCCTCCAGCATTCTCCATCTCCCCCCCACCCCCGCCCCACTTAATTCATGTCTGTGGGTTGTATATATATACTCTTTGGTTTCTCCATTTCTTATATGATACATAACCTCTCCCTGTCTATTTTGTACCTACCAATTGTACTTCTTATTCCCTGTACTTTTTCCCCATTCTCCCCCTTCCTCTCCCTACCGATAACCCTCCATGTGATCTCCCACTGCTGTGATTCTGTTCCTGTTCTAGTGGTTTGCTTAATTTGTTTTGTTTTTATTTTTTTAGGTTCAGCAGCTCATAGTTGTGAGGTTTTTTTTGTCATTTTACTGTTCATACTTTTGATCTTCTTTTCCTTAGATAGGTCCCTTTAACATTGTATATAACAAGGGCTTGGTGATGATGAACTCCCTTTAACTTGGCCTTATCTGGAAAGCACTTTTTCTGCCCTTCCATTCTAAATGATAGCTTTGCTGCATAGAGTATTCTAGGTTGTGGGTCATTGCTTTTCATGACTTTGAATACTTTTTTCCAGTCCCTTCTTGCTTGTAAGCTTTCTTTTGAGAAATCAGCTGATAGCCTTATGGGCACTCCTTTGTAGGTAACTCTCTCCTTTTCTCTTGATGCTTTTAAGATTCTCTCTGTGTCTAATCTTCGGTAATGTAATTATGATGTGTTTTGGTGTGTTTCTCCTTGGATCCAACTTCTTTGGGACTCTCTGAGCTTCCTGGACTTGCATGTCTGTTTCGTTCACCAGATTGGGGAAGTTTTCCTTCATTATTTTTTCAAGTAAGTTTTCAATTTCTTGCTCTTTCTCTTCTCCTTCTGGCACCCCTATGGTTTGGATGTTGGAGTGCTTAAAGTTGTCCCAGAGGTTCCTAAGCCTCTACTCATTTTTTTGCATTCTTGTTTCTTCCTTCTGTTCCGGTTGAATGTCTATTTCTTCCTTCTGTTCCAAATTGTTGATTTGAGTCCCCGTTTTCTTCCTTTAACTGTTGGTTCCCTGTATATTTTTCTTTCTTTTACTTTGTCTAGCCTTCACTTCTTCCTTTATTTTGCCTCCCTACTCAGTCATTTCTGTGAGTGTCCTGATTACCAGTGTTTTAAACTCTGCATCTGATAGGTTGGCTATTTCCTCCTCGCTTAGTTGTTTTTCTGGAGTTTTGATCTGTTCTTTCATTTCGGCCATATTTCTTTGTCTCAGTGCACCTGTTATGTTGTAAGGGGCGGACCTTTTGGTGTTTACCAGGTGAGGGCAGCCCACTTTGCCGCACTGTGGCACTGCATGTGGGGAAGGGGCCAGAAAGGGAATAATGCTTCTTACTCGGCTCTTGCCCCACTTTCAGTCACTTCCCCTGCTACCCACAAGTGGATTGTGCCCTTTCAGCTACTGATTTCTGAATGGGTGGGCTTGTGTATGCACTAGGATCCCTTGGACCTCTCCCACAGACTCTCCGGTGAGACTTGGAGATAACACCTGCTACCGCAACCCCCACAGTTTTTTACAGCCAGAGGTTTTAAGGCTTTAGTGTCTTGGGCTGGAACCCTGGGTTGCACAGTCTGTCTTGCATCCCAGTTGTTCTCCCGGCTTACCTGCACACAAATGTAGGGTATTCTGTTCCACCAGCCCCCTGCTTCGTCTGTCCCAGTCCACCAGCCACCACATTGTCCCACATCCTCACCACCCAGGCTGACAGTCTCAGCCCCTCCTACTAATCTGGATGAATGTTTTTTCTTTAACTCCTTGGTGGTTGGACTTCCATACAGTTTGATTTTCTTGCAGTTCTAGTTGTTTTTGTTTTTCAATTAGTTGTTATCCTTCTTTTGGTTGTGCAAGGAAGCAAAGTATACCTACCTATGCCTCCATCTTGGGCCAAAGCCCATCTGTTGTCAAAAAAAAAAAATCAAGTATGGTGCCAGGTGGGTGCTAGACTTATTGGAGGGATCACTTCATTAATTATATGTGTTTAACCACTGTGCTGTACATCTGAAACTTTATAAAATAATCTTGAGTGTCAACTATAATTAAACAATTTTAAAGTAATAATTAAAAATACATAAATAAGCCATTTATAGACTTTGCAAAGGGGAAGACTTTAAACCTCGGTTATTTATATATTTCATAACCTACTTATGTTATTCTGTTTTGGAAAATGTCAAATCTTCATATTTTTGCATCTTTTAAATGCAAGTATGTAGGTGTGAAAGCGGCTCTTAAAAATGTCTATTAACACAGCTGTTGGGCTAGATTGCTATAGTAATAAGTTCATTTTTTGTTGGGCTTCATAGAAACAAATTATACCTGGTCTTAGAGAGCTTTATTATAAATATGTTTAGTTAGTTACCAGAGTAGATCAAGAGATTGAATTGATGAGTGGAAAACAGCAACTACCATTCAGCCCATGCTCTGCTGCTGATGGATTAGCAGAGACTCAGTTTCACTTGAGAGAAACAAATTTACACTCACTGTAAAAGGACAGTCTATTCTTTATGGTGTATTTTGTCCTGGTAACTAACTGTTACAGGTAGAAATGTTTAAGAAAGTTATACAACTATAAATTATTTAAATTTGAAAACTAAAGTGTAAAGTCAAGGTTTAATGGAGTATGGCGTAGTTTATTTTAAACATTTAGACCTATAAAAGCATGTGTTATACTGTTACAACTTATAACTTTCCAGTATGTTTAAGAATAACATCTTAGTCATTAATAAAGGTGGATAAATAGGTTGAAGATGTTACTAAAAAGCTTTTGTTTTTACCCTCTTTTTTTCTGTTCTCCTTTGTCAGAACTACTAGGAGATAGTATGCACATGTATACTTAAATTTATAGAGTTTTGTTTTTAAGAGCAAAACATTGTTTAATACACCCATTATGTAATCTCTTTGTGGTGCCCTTTTCCTGTACCTGAAAAAAAGTTTTCTGGATTTTCAGGTGGTCATGATTCTAATTCACATTAATAATACCCTAGCACTTAAGTAGTTTTTTCTACTTCCACAGGAGTTTAAGCAGAAAAATGAAGCAAATAGAATTTAAAGTGTCTAACAGAGAAAATTTGATCATTTTTATGGTGATATATATTTTTTTTCTTCCTAATATAGGAGACTTTTCACGAGCATGGGATGTTCTTCTTGACCATATACAATCAGCAGCACTCAGCAAAAACAATGAAGTATCTCTGGCTGCACTGAAAAGCTTCCAGGAAATTTTACAGATTGTGTCCCCTGTCAGGGACTCAGATAAGCCTGAGACACCGCCTGCAGTTAATGTTCCTGTGCCTGTCCTTATAGGGTCCATATCAGGCCCTGGTCTGAACAGGCCATTTGTAAGAACAGATTCCATTGGAGAAAGACTCGGAAGATACAGTAGCTCTGAGCCACCCATAGTTACTGATGAACTTGAAGATTTGAATCTCTGGTGGGCTGCATGGAATACCTGGTATAGAATTGGATCTGAAAGCACTAAACCTCCTATTACTTTTGATAAACTGACTTTCATTCCCAGCCAGCCTTTCCTTACAGCTTTAATTCAGATATTTCCAGCTCTCTACCAACACATAAAAACTGGTTTCAACATGGATGACTTGCAAAAATTGGGGGTAATATTGCACAGTGCTGTTTCAGTCCCAATAAGTTCAGATGCATCCCCTTTCATTCTTCCATCTTATACAGAAGCAGTTTTGACAAGTTTACAGGAAGCTGTACTTACAGCTTTAGATGTTCTCCAAAAGGTAATTAAATTCTTGTGGCTATCTAAGCAATAATGCATTTGGTTCTCTGGAATTTTTTACTTTGCTATATATTTTTGAGGGATGAATTCTGGATCATCGAGATTATTGTATGTGTATACTTTGGGATAAATTCAGCATTGTGAAGATCTAGTTATTTTAAAAACATGGTTTTCTGATGTAGTTTTAAAAGATAATTCAGCTTTGTTTTGAGAGTCTTTAAGAAACTGCCTGCATCCAGTTTTTACTCACGAGCATTTTTGATGTTCATGCATGTCTTCATACGAGGATAATACTTTTTAGAATAACTTCAGTAAAGTAGTTATATAATTAGAAAATTAATAAGCAGTGGGGTTATATTTTGTCTTATTTTTCATGTGCACTTATATTTAGCTCTGAAATAATTGAAAGCTTTTTTTTTTTAAAGTAAGGATAAACTTATAAAGTATGTCACAGGAATTTTAGAAAGCTATATTTTTACCTCTGTGTGTTTTACTATAAAAAATTATTAAAATAGACCTAAAAAATCATTGAGCAAAATCCCAGTTAGCAAACAACACCAGATCAAAATCAAAGAACTCTTTAAACTTTAAAGTAATTGTTAATGTAAGTCACAGCACCCAAAATGCTAATGGAAAAAAAAAAAGCCAACTGAAGAGCCAGCAATTCCAACAAAGTAGCTATGACATTCTAACAGTATTAGAATGGAACTAGAACCTGATTACACATATGTGATCAGTAACTATTTATGTCATATAAATCATGTTTTTCATAAACTTATTACATGTATCCAACTGGAATGATGAAAACTTTCACAGTAAGAATGGTGGTTTCTGCTACATAATACCTCTTAATTAAGTCTAGCTAAGCAATAATTCTTTAATCTTTTTAACCCAATTACATAGAAAATAAATTGTGTAGAAACCTAAAATTTAAGAGAATCTGGCTTATTAAAAATTTTTATTATAGGGATATCAGTTTGCCACAATTGAAATCAAAATTGTTGTTTTTAAATGCAGTGGGGGGGGGGAAATGTAGCTTCTCAGTAATTACCTTTTTCTCCTTGATTGATCATGCTCATAAATTGCTTATAGACTGCCCTAGAGGGAAAAGAAAAGAAAAGGGGAAGGGAAAGGGAAGGAAAAAACCACAGTCCTTGTGGGATGCCTGTAATCTACAACTCTCACTAAGATGTTGGATTCAAACTTTTATGTATATGTAGAGTATAATAAAGTAGAAACAACAAATGCCAAAAATTCTTTTCAAGGGAAAAAAAGCATATAATTTTTTTTTTAACCCTCTGCTTTAGCAATAAGACAGTAAGTGGAATCTTTCATCACAATTACTAGGAATTTGTCCTGAGCTTTTAATGGCTTTCAAAACAGCATTTACTTTCAACATGAAACTTAAGAAGCTTTATTGTTTTTCCTTTATATCAATTGATATTTTATATTATTAATTTTTACTGTATGCATTGTTTATTACTTACGAGGTTATCTAAATGTTGCATAATACTGGAAAGTAATACAACATGGATCTTTAATTTAATTTCCTGACAGAGAAAAATCAACATTTTATTACCTGTAAGAGTGTTTTTATATTTTCCCCCAAGTATGTTGGAAAGTTTTTTGCTTTGGGACTTTATCCTTAAATTAATAAGCTATTCAGAAAAACATTTTACTGATTAAAAACTCTTTTCCTTCCTAAAGGAGAAACTCACTTTTGATTTCATGTTACCCTTATATTCAGGGTCACAGTCCTGTCTTGGTTCTCAGATCACTAGTTCCCAACCAAATTTACTTAGTTATGTATGCTAATTGATTTTTTTTTTTTTTTTTGGCCAGAATATTTTCGCACATGTGAGGGACCTGATAATTTGATTATCTGCTTTTTATTAAGTTCTGAGATCAGAAGACTGCATCTGTTTTATTTATTGCTAAACTTCCTAAAGTCAGATGGCTAGATACCCTGTCTGCCCCCATCATCACAGCTGCTGTGTGGTACCCCAGGAGACACCATCACATTGTGTACAAAGTGGCGTCTTTGCAGTTGTGCAGTGAAGCCGTGTCTTCTACTTATAGGGTCAAGTTTCTGCTCTACTTCAGATTCCTCATCTATAAAATGAAAATAATAAATCTACAACTTTTTCCCCTATTAAATGGGATAATATTTGTAAGATATGTAGTGCCTGGCACCATTTAACATTCAGTAAATGTTACTTTAGTTGTTACTACCTTTATCATCAAGTTCCCTAGCAAAGGTCCTACCTAGTACGTGGTAGATACTGAATGAATTATTAAACATGACTCAGAGAGAAACCTTGAACCATACCAGAGGTTAGATGTCCAGGGTTTGTTTGTTTTTTTTGTTTTCAAATACACACTTTCAAAGACTATTTTGAAATACAGTTTAGATAGCTTATTGATTCTCAGCTTTTGGAATAAAATCTGTTACCAGATTTATCCTGTATTTTGGTATTATACAGACTTCAGAATACTGAAGGAGAAAAGCCAATAATAGCTTTTTCTTAGATGGAATTTGTTGTTAAAAGAAAAGTCAACTCCATAGTATGCACTTTAAAATCCCAGAATAGCTTTATAATCTATAACACTGTTTATATGTTTTCTTTTTATAAAGAACCACAGAAAATCAAAATGTATAGTCAAAGTCATTATTTGGTGCTAACATAATTCCAGACAAATTATGATACTTACTTTTGTAAGGTATCCACAAAGGCTTTTTTGGTTTTTTCTTCCCCAGTCATTGAAAATAAAATGATTAACTTAGGATAATTGTCTTTTTTCCACAGTAATTACTGCTTGTTTATTTCTAAGAGTTAAGACTGAGCAAGTGGTTAATAAAGAAGGTGAGCTGTGGCCAGTGTGGCTCATTTGGTTGGAGCATTGTCCCATAACTGAAAGGTTACAGGTTCAATTCCCTGTCAGGGCACGTACCTAGGTTGCATGTTTGATTCCCAGTCCTGGCACATACGGGGCAACCAATCAAAGGTTCTGTCCCTCATCAGTGCTTCTATCTCTCATCAATGCTTCTCTCAAAAAAAGCCTTTCTCTCTCTCTAAAAAAAGCAACGAAAAAATGTCCTTGGGTGAGGATAAAAAAAAATATTTAAAAATAAAATGAAACTATTAGAAGCAGTCAATAGAGAGAATTGTTTTCTTTTTCTTTTTTCTTTTTTTATCATTCAGGTTCACCATTCACTATTTTCAGCAAAAATAGCTAACTATTGGGAGACTGTTTTTTTTTTTATTTGTAATTATAAGACGATCTAACTAAGGTATAGGCAGCATTTTGCTTACAATTTTCTACCTCAGGACAGTTTTATCTAAACTTAAGTTATAGCTAAATACTTACATTTTCTCTGAGAGAAAAATAAAACTATTCTATTATCTGACAGGTTAAAAAGCCACAGATTACATGAAAACATAAATGTTGTAAATATGTTTTTAAAGAAATTTCTTAAAAATTTGAATGCTTTGAATTTAGACTTAGTATTTTAAGTTGTAGTGACCATGTATTTTGTGTTGTAGAACATAGATATATTATAGACATTCTATAAATAATATTTTTTCTCACACAGAAAAATAAACACTAAAACAGGGACATATGAAAGGATGAGGGGAGAAAACATAGAAAAAAATTGTGGCTAGAAAAAATAAAAAACAAGATTTGAGAGAGAGTTCAGGACAAGATGGAGGCATAGGTAGATGCGCATCACCTCCTCTCACAACCAAAAGAAGGAAACAACCAATTTAAAAACAAAAACCAATCAGAACTGCCAGAAAATCAAACTGTATGGAAGTCCAAAAACCAAGGAGTTAAGAAATATTTATCCAGACTGGTAGGAAGGGTGGAGAGGGGCAGCTGGGGCAGAGAGGATGTGTGACAATGAGGTGGCTGATGGACCACGTGGTCCCACGTTCGCGTGCGGGTAAGCTGGAAGGAACAACTGGGGAGCGAGACAGATGGCACAACCCAGGGTTCCAGCAGGGGCAAAAGAAGCCTTATAACATCTGGCTATAAGAACTGTGAGGTTTGTGGTGGCAGGAGAAACTGCCAGTCTCTTGAAAGGGGGATGAGAGCCAAGCAGGAGGCATTATTCCCTTTCTGGCCCCTTCCCCACATGCAGTGCCACAGTGCGGCAAAGTGGGCTGCCCTCACCTGGTAAACACCAAAAGGTCCGCCCCTTACAACATAACAGGTGCACTGAGACAAAGAAATATGGCCGAAATGAAAGAACAGATCAAAACTCCAGAAAAACAACTAAGCGAGGAGGAAATAGCCAACCTATCAGATGCAGAGTTTAAAACACTGGTAATCAGGACACTCACAGAAATGACTGAGTAGGGAGGCAAAATAAAGGAAGAAGTGAAGGCTAGACAAAGTAAAAGAAAGAAAAATATACAGGGAACCAACAGTTAAAGGAAGAAAACGGGGACTCAAATCAACAATTTGGAACAGAAGGAAGAAATAGACATTCAACCGGAACAGAAGGAAGAAACAAGAATGCAAAAAAATGAGTAGAGGCTTAGGAACCTCTGGGACAACTTTAAGCACTCCAACATCCAAACCATAGGGGTGCCAGAAGGAGAAGAGAAAGAGCAAGAAATTGAAAACTTACTTGAAAAAATAATGAAGGAAAACTTCCCCAATCTGGTGAACGAAACAGACATGCAAGTCCAGGAAGCTCAGAGAGTCCCAAAGAAGTTGGATCCAAGGAGAAACACACCAAAACACATCATAATTACATTACCGAAGATTAGACACAGAGAGAATCTTAAAAGCATCAAGAGAAAAGGAGAGAGTTACCTACAAAGGAGTGCCCATAAGGCTATCAGCTGATTTCTCAAAAGAAAGCTTACAAGCAAGAAGGGACTGGAAAAAAGTATTCAAAGTCATGAAAAGCAATGACCCACAACCTAGAATACTCTATGCAGCAAAGCTATCATTTAGAATGGAAGGGCAGAAAAAGTGCTTTCCAGATAAGGCCAAGTTAAAGGGAGTTCATCATCACCAAGCCCTTGTTATATACAATGTTAAAGGGACCTATCTAAGGAAAAGAAGATCAAAAGTATGAACAGTAAAATGACAAAAAAAACCTCACAACTATGAGCTGCTGAACCTAAAAAAATAAAAACAAAACAAATTAAGCAAACCACTAGAACAGGAACAGAATCACAGCAGTGGGAGATCACATGGAGGGTTATCGGTAGGGAGAGGAAGGGGGAGAATGGGGAAAAAGTACAGGGAATAAGAAGTACAATTGGTAGGTACAAAATAGATGAGGTAGGGGGGCGGAGTGGTTAAGTATCGTATAGTAAATGGAGAAGCCAAAGAACTTACATGTGTGACCATGGACATAAACTAAATGGGGGTAATGCTGGAGGGAATGGGTGTACTGGGCAGAGGAGGATAAAGGGGGAAAAAAAGAATGGAACAACTGTAATAACATAATCAATAAAATGTACTTAGAAAAGTAAGATTTATTTTAAGTACTTTTGACATATTTGAATTGATAATTCAAATCTGCAACATCAAGATGTGCATTTTATTCTGTTTTATCAAATTGTAGCAATAAATTTAATTCTTAATTAAATATTAATTTAATTTAACAATTAAAATGTTAAAATATTTTAAAATCTAAAAATCAAATCTATATATTCAGGTACATTAGGTATTACATATATACTATTAAAGTTAATATAGAGATTTCCTTTAGAAACAGTTTTTCATACATGATTTTCCCAATCGTAATGCACATAATTATTTGTTAACAATTATGTGCATTATGTATATAATGTATGTGCAATTATGTGCATTATGTTGATAATGTATGAAAACAATTCTTCATACATTATTTTCCCAGTTGTAATGCACATAATTATTTGTTAAAGTCAGTGGACTAAGCATAGTGTAGAATTCAGCTGTCATTTGAATGAGCTGATGTCATCACTTAAATGGAAGTCAGTATCATCTTGGACAGTGAAGCATTCTTAATAGTCCAATGGCTGTATTACTGAACAAATGGTGAGATTGTAGAACCTCGGGACTGCCTGGGACTTTTCTTTAATTGCTTTCTCTTTTTCTAGTCTGTTAAGTAAAACATCATACTTTTTGTTAAAAAAATATCTTTAGTTGATTAACACATTTAGCCTATACCTTATTCAATAGTTGTTTAAAATAGCTTAAATGTCCTGGACTTAGAAAAGATTGTATGGTACATAAAATAGGATAGTCTTTAAGATTATTTGGTTAAACAAATGCATACAATACTAAAGAACTTAATGGAACTAAGATTATGCATTCCACTGTTCATATTTTGTTTTTATAGGCCATCTGTGTAGGACCAGAAAACATGCAGATAATGTATCCAGCTATATTTGATCAGTTACTGGCATTTGTAGAATTTTCCTGTAAACCTCCACAATATGGACAACTGGAAACAAAGCACATTGCAAATGCAAAATATAATCAGGTAATTTATTCTAAATTATGTTTACTCTCTAATATTTCATGGCTTATAAATACAAGTCAGTTTCATTTAAGATGGACTCTGATTATCTCAGAAACTTTTCATTCACAAATACATTTTCATATGTCTGGTAACAGTTTTAGCTGAAAAGAAATACTATTTGGGAAATCTTTTCTGTGTTTCTTTTTTTCTTTTTTATGATTTCCGCTTCCCAACTGGTTCCCCAGGAAGTTTAGCCTTCATGTACATCTTCTTCAAAGTTCCATTCTTGACTACCCATCCCACTACAAAATTGCTTCTAAATCCCTAATCCCAATCTTACATAAAATAGATACCTAAAATGCAAAACAAAGATATCTGTATGTATTAAATAAGAAGTCTACTACTGGTGTGAAATTTAGTTGGATTTTACATAAAAGACTTTTATAGCCATAATTGGCAAATTTTAACTTTGTTTTGGCTTACAAGGAAAGTAAATTTCTGAATGCATGCACATGCTGATTTTGTTCAAACAACATAAAAATTATAATTTTACATGGTCCGAAAAGTAGATTTAATGTGTATTAACTTTTTTCATTCTATTTGTCTTGCAACACAATGGAATCACAATAGATCCAACTATTTGCACCGGTGAGTTAAATTTCCTAAAATTGTCCTAACCTGTAGCAACAAAGTATATCTTTTCCAGTTCTTGATAGAATGCTCTATGTGCTTTTTCTGATAGTTTTAATTTTTGCCTGGCTGAAAATGATTATTTCATGAAGTACATATACTTTTGAAAACTTTGCATGTAATATAATCTGACCTAATACCAAGGCCTTTAAGACAAAGAAGATTTTTTCTGTGAAAAAATACAATTTCATTTAATCTCATTTATTTTTAACTCCATGTGAAAATATTACTTTTTAGGCGGAATGGGTAGCCTTGAATTATGTACCATTTGCTGAAAGATCTTTAGAAGTAGTTGTGGATTTATACCAAAAAACAGCCTGTCACAAAGCAGTGGTGAATGAGAAAGTACTCCAGAATATTATTAAGGTAATTCTTCTTTTAAAATATTTATACTTGTATTTGTAGATGACAGTATTGTTGAAATTACTCTTTAGATAATACTTTATCATAATATTGAAATAAATTGAAAATATACTTTATATTATTTATAGTGACTTTCTCCAATGTTCATGGGTAATACTTAGGAACCTGTTTTTCTAAAGTATTAGGTTTTTTTATTTTTTTATTTTTTTAATTTATTTACTTTTTAAATACATTTGTCTCTGCCTCCCCCCCACCTCTTTCCCTTGCCCCCTCCCACCTTCCCTCCCTCAGCTCTTCCCCTTTGGTTTTGTCCATGAGTCCTTGCTATATGTTTTTTTAAAATGAAAAATATTTTAAAGTTGGTATGCATTAGATTTTTTACAGTTTTTTAAAATCTTTTAAATTTTTTTTATTGTTCAAATACATTTGTCTCCTTATACTTCTTAATTTTTGCCCTATAAGACAATGAGTTGAGGATCCTGTTTCTTACGATAGTACTTACCATTCTTCGAAGCTGATGAGCATTCAGGGGGAAATTCACAATACAGCCCATTGGATCATGCGTGCTTTTAACAGTTATTTTTATTTATTTTATTTTTCAGTTACAGTTGACATACAATATTATGTTTTCAGTATTGACAATTATTTTAAAAGGTCATCTCTTGTTTACTGTGATACATTCCTCCAGAAGCATATTTCTTGTTTTTTCCTCTGTTTTGAAAAATTTATACCTTGCTCTTACCCTAGCACATGGATGTGCCTTCTATTTACTGAAAAAAACACAGGCCAATGTAAACAGTCCACCCTCAAAGAAGAGGGCTTTTCTCAGTTTTAAGGTTCATCCCTCTCTGTGTTCAATTCTTTTCTCTTTCCAGAGAAAAAGTAGTTTTCTTTCTTTCATTTTATTTTTTTGTGGGTAATTCTTTCTTTCATTTTCCTTTTGGCCTCTCCTACTTTATCCTGGAAAAATAATGAAGACTTACAAGAACTTCAGTTTACTTCTAGTCAGATTGCCATCCTCTTTTATCTTCCCTTTACTTCTAAACTCCATTAAACAGCTTGTGGCCTTCGCCTAGTCACCAGTCATTTATTAACCTATTGCATGCTGGCTTACTTCCATATTGTGCTACAGAAACCACGTACTCAAAGTTATGGCACATCAAACCTTTTCTAAGCCCTTTTCTAATTCTGTATCTTCCCTTTAACATGGCACTGCCTTTGTCTCTTTAAAACTCTTCTGTTCATTTTTATTGTACTTCTTTCTGTCCCTCACTACTCACACCATAACAACTGTCCTCTCTCTCCTCATTTATTGAGAATATTTTTAAAGCACCTTTGTTACCAGGTACTAATTAAATAGTAAAGATTAAAAACAAGATAGTTCTTACATTTAATAATTTAATGTAGGGAATATAGGAAGGTAACAAATAACAATACCATGTGTTAAGTGCTAAATGGAGGCAGCTCTGCATTCAGATAGACCTGGCTTAGATTAGTACACTTGCTGCTCTATGATTTTGGAAAAGTGAACTAGTCCAAGGGTGTTTCTCATTTGTAAAAGAAGGATAATACCAATGCCACTTATATGTCTTAACTAAAAAAAGAATCAGTTGGGATATAACATTTAATGGTATCCACCAGTTAGTCAGTGTGGAATAAAAAGTTAGTTCCTCCCATAGACAAGGAAGTAGCTAAACTGGCTAGGGGATTTAGGCAAGGATTAATAGAAGGGATTCTTGAAAAAGAAATAATAGAATTTGGTAGATAAAAAGGGAAAGGGAAGTTTTATAGGTAAACTAAACAGTGTAAAAGATCATGATATATTTTTAAAGAAATGTTGAGAAATTCAGTTTAAGGAAGTGACAAGGCCTGGGATAAGTCTGAAAAGGTACTTAGGGATTTTATAACCCATCATAAGGAATCAGACTTTATACCTTAACCATTGAAGTGTTGAACTTTGAAGAATGATGAGAACCAGCTTGGCATTTTTAAAGGAAGTAAGTAATTCCTTTCTGTACTCACACTTGGTTGATGCCACTTACTACATTGTATTGTGGTTAATTGGACAAGGTTCTTTCTCAAAAAGTGTGAGCTTTATGACAGCAGGCACTGAATTTCCTAGTCCCACCACATCTATTTACTGAGAATGCACTGTATTCCAATCCTTAATGAATTGCCTTATTATTTTTAAAAAATGTATAAATTGAATCGATCTGCTGTGTTTAACATTCCCTTGATTTCAGTAAAATACTAATTGTAGTAGTAAACCATACTTTTATCTAACCTGAGGTTATAAAATGTTAATTCAGAATGCCCTTATGTAGTGTAGTACTCTCGTTTGCAAATGACATACATAGGGTTTAACTAGCTTCAACTATGAAGATTCATTGGCATGCTTAGTTGGAAAATTCAGAGGTGGGGGGAAGGTGTTTTAGAATCAGTTGATTCAGGGATTCAGCAGTATCACCAAAAACCAAATTTTTCTCTGTATCTGCTTATGAAGGGTTGGCTGTATCCTAACTACGTTTTTCCTCATAGTGGTAGGCTAAAAATGGGATTATGTGTCCAGTAGGAGGGATTTGTGTGTGTGTTTCTATTATATTATTATTCATGAGTTTCTTAAATTAACCTTAAGGGGACCAGTGTTAGTCCCATGTCTAGTCTCGAATTGGTGACTGTGACCAGGGAAATGGAGTAAATTAACTTAATAATCGGATGATCTCCGTATTCTAATTCCACATGGAAGTAGAGTTTGCTTCCCCTGAAGCACACAGGGAGGGGAAAGGGATTAATATAGCCTGGTCAAGCTAATTATCTGTTAGTAGAGGAGGCCCATTTCATGCTAATATATAATGGTTCATATGTGCACTCAGTAATATTTGGTTTGGAGGGCAATGAAATAGGGTTTTATATTCATGCCATAACATTGAGGTTTGAAAAATTATCTCTTTACTCTTGACCTTCCTCTGACTAGGATTGTTTTATAAAAGCAGAATTTTCACTCTAATGCAAATTAGCCGACAGTATGCTGATACTATTAAGTGATGCTGCTCTGGGATAACTCACTGTGGTAGTTAGGTCAGTCTAGTCTTCCAGGTGCACGATAGACCAATGACTAGAGAGGTCCAATCTGAACAAACAAATTAGTTCTTTCATGGTAAACAGTAACCTGTATTAAAGTTGATCAATTAAAGATTAAGTCTCAGCACCTTAGTCACTACACATCGCTCAGATGCTCTACTCCTGTATCCTCAAGGGTTAAAGATAAAATAAACCATCTTCTAGAATGGCCAACTTTACTAAAATTTTTGGAAAAGAAAAAAGTACATTAAAATGTTAAAGTGTAATATAAAATCCATAGAATTTTAGAGATATAACATGACTTCAAGTTATTGATGCTTTAGGCTATCTTTATTCTCCCCTAACAACTCGTGGAAAAGCATAGGCAGTATTTATCTTTCTTGGATGGGAGAACCCTGTCAGTCAAATTATTTTCTGCTAGGAGAACTATGGCAGAATGTTCTAATTACACAACGTCAAGCTGAGGGAAGCTGCAAAGTTTTGTTTCCTACTCCTACTCTTAACTTTTCAGAAAACCTTCTATTTCTTATGATGAGAAACTGAGGTTCAAAAAAGTTGTCACTTTTTCAGGGTCATTGGTTGCAAAATGGAGACAGTGAGATTTGAGGACCATGACTGAGAAATTGGTCTTCCTAGAAAATAAAATCCTTCTTTAAATGAAAATGCCTATGCTATTATTTTTTTCTGTCTGCTATCATTTTTTAAAAGTAATTGAAGCTGTGTGTATATGTTTTAATGAATACTTATCTTAAACTGTCTTTATTTTCACAGACCCTTAGGGTTCCTCTCAGTTTGAAGTATTCCTGCCCTTCTGAAAGCACATGGAAATTAGCAGTATCTTCTCTCCTCAAAGTTCTTTCTATTGGGCTACCTGTTGCCCGGCAACATGCTTCTTCAGGAAAATTTGACAGTATGTGGCCAGAACTGGCCAACACTTTTGAAGACTTTCTCTTTACTAAAAGGTGAGTTCATTTATTTTTGCCATTAGGACAATCTTTGAAAAAAGTGTACATTATACCTTAACTGCTCTAAAAACAGTATTTCTAATTATTCATTAACAGAGTGATTGGTTATTGAGAATCCTAGATTGTATACAAAACACAACTGGATTAGGCATTTATCCATTTGGTACATTATCTGTGAGCAGTGGAGATTTTGCTCCTTAACAATGGTTTTGGTTGTAAGATAGAAATATAAATATAAGACTATATGAATGCATCATAATTAAAGGACCATGTTTTTAACCAGATAAAGCCAAAAAGATCCATTTTTTTAAAACCATGCTCATTTAGCATTACATAGGAAAGCAATTTCAGAAAACCAGTGTTTTACCAGAATAAATAAGGTCATTGGCAATAATGATCAGCTTTTTAAGATGTTTAGATTTGGAGGCTCCTCAAGCAATTAAAAACAGAAATACAGTAGTTGCCCTTTACCCCATGTAGGTTACATTCTAAGACCCCCTGAAACCACAGATAGTACCAAAACCTATATTTTGTTCTTTACATACGTACCCATGATGAAGTTTAATGTATAAATTAGGCCCAGTGAGAGATTAACAACAATAGCTAATAATAAAGTAGAACAATTACAATAATACACTGAAATAAAAATTACCTGAATATGATTTTTTAAAAATGATGTTTATGTTTGGTGAAGAAAAGGCAAATTTTCACTATATGATACCTAACTGAGTGCATAGGCTAAGGCTGCTCTTTTGACCCCTGACTGAGTGAGAGTGGGATAATTGGAACACAGACTAAATTTTTTTTAATGAGGAGTGTGCTGCTGTTTATCTAGAACTGTGCTATCCCATGTAGTAGTCACTAACAGTTATTAATTACATTTTTTGGTTCACAGGCCAGAACTCAATCCACTGAGCCACACCAGCCAGGGCTTTAATTATATTTTTAAAAAAGATTTTACTTACTTATTTTTAGAGAGGGAAAGGGAGGAAGAGAGGGAGAGAAACATCAACCTGTGGTTGCCTCTCATGTGCCCCCTACTGGGGACCTGGCCTGCAACCCAGGCATGTGCCCTAAACTGGGAGTCAAACCTGTGACCCTTTGGTTTGCAGGCTGGCACTCAATCCACTGAGCCACACCAGCCAGAGCTAATTACATTTTTAACTAAGTAAAATTAAAAATTCAGTTTAGCCAGATTTCAAATTCTCATTGCCATGTATGGCTAATGTCTACCATGTTGGACAGTGCAGATTATTGAACATGCCCATCATCACAGAAAGTTCCTTTGGGTAACACTGATCTAAAATGTGACATTTTAGTGATGATGGACTTATCTGTAATAGCCATGATAGCCAGGTAGTCTTCAGTTCTACAGTCTAATTTTCTTTTGTGCTATGGTACTTAAATTCTATAACAACAAATTCATTTCAATTTTTATGTCCAGTAATCATTGTTAAAATTATAGAACATAACCATTTAAAACTATTAGTTTATAACTATTTAAATGATGAATTTGATATACTTCAAGGAAAAAACCTACATTAGCACTTTGATAATGATCCAGATGAGTCCACAACAGAATGATTTAACTGAAATGATTCTATCTTTCTACTGTTTAGTTATTCAGTAAAAAAAAAAAAAAGTTGTAAACAGAAACAGACTTTTAGATACAGAGAGCAAACTGGTGATTGCCAGTTGGGAAAGGGAGTAAGGGGACTGGGTGAAATAGGTTAAGAAGTATAAATTGGTAGTTACAAAATATTCACAGGCATGTAAAGTACAGCATAGGAAATACAATTAATGAAATAACTATATGGTGTGAGATGGGTACTACTGTGGAGCATCACTCCTAAAGTATATAACTGTCTAACCACTCTGCGCTACACATGAAAGTAATAGAAAATAATGATGGAGACAAATGTATTTGAACAATAAAAAAATTTAATCAAAAAAATAATATCGAATGTCAACTGTAATTGAAAAATAGAAGTTGTAGAGTGCAGAAGGGTTAATTTACATTTTTCTCTCTAAAAGCTTCTCTGTTATTTCAGAATTGAAACTAATGATACGTGATTTTAATTTCTGTTTCTGTAAATGGTCAGATTTTGTTTTGCTTTCTTAGTATTTGTCACCTCTGAAATTTGATTGATATAATGCAAACATACTCTTTGTATTTTCAGGAAACAAATTATGTTTTTATCTTTAAAATAACTCTGAAAATTTGAATTCGTTTCACAATGTTAACTTACATAAAGCAAATAGATTTAGAAAGTTAAACTTTTTCCTTTTTCCTCCAATTATCTGCCTGTTGCTCTCATAATAAATTGAATAAGCTTTTTTTTAAAAAAAAATTGCGGTAACATTGGTTTATAACATTATATAAATTTAAGGTGTGCAATATTATAATTTGATACCTGTATACATTATAAATAGTATGTTAACCACCGAAAGTATAGTTTCCACCTGTCACCATACATTTGACCCTTTTTTCTCATTTTGCCTTCTTCCCACCTTCCATCCCACCTGGTAACCACCAATCTGTTGTTCTTATCTAAGAGTTTGTTTTTATTTTTGTTGTTTCTTTTTTCTTTGTATTCCACATTTGAATGAAATCATACAATTTTTGTCCTTTTCTATATGACTGACCTTACTCAACGTGATACCCTCAAGTCCATCTATCTTGTAAATAGCAATATTTTATCTTTTCTTATGGCCAAGTAAGTAGTCCATTGTGCGTGTGTATGTGTGTGTGCATAAGCTTTTTTATCCATCACCCATTGATGAACACTTAGTTTATTTAAATATCTGAGCTATTGTAAACAAATCTGCAATGAACACAGGGGTGCATATTATATTTTTTAATTTGTGTATTCTTCAGAAAAATACCCATAGGTAGAATAACTAATCATATAATAGTTCTATTCTTAATTTTTTGAGGAACCTCCGTACTGTTTTCCATAGTCACTGCACCAATTTACAATTCCAGTAACAAAGTATAGGGGTTCCCTTTTCTCCACATCCTCTCCAACACTTGTTATTTCTTGTCTTTTTGATAATAGCTATTTTAACAGGTATGAGGTGATATCTCATTGTAGTTTTGACTTGCATTTTCCTGCTAATTAGTGATGTTGAACATCTTTTCATACACATGTTGACCAGTTGTTTATCTTCCTTGTAAAAATGTTTGTTCAGATCCTCTGCCCATTTTTTAACAGGTTATCTTTTGTTTATTTGTAGTTGAGTTATATGAGCTTATACATATTTTTTGCACATTCACCCCTTATCAAAAATATCATTTGAAAATATTCAGTTGGCTGTCTTTTCATTTTGTTGATGGTTTCCTTTGCTATGCAGAAATTTGATGTAGTTTTATTTATTTTGTCTTTTGTTTCTCTTGCTTTTGAGGTCAGATCCACAAAAATGTTGCTAGCTGATGTCCAGGGGCTTAGGGACTTATGTTGTCTTCTATGTATCATATGGTTTTGGGTCTTATATCAATTTTTAATCCATTTTGAGTTAATTTTTGTGTATGATGTAAGAGAGTAGTCTAGTTTCCTTCTCTTACGGATAGTTTGTTCAGTATTCCCAACACCATTTAATGAAGAAACTTTCCTTTCTCCATTATATGGTCTTGGCTCCTTTGTTGTAATTTAGCTATCCATACATGTAGGTTTATTACTGGGCTCTTGGTTCTGTTCCATTGGTCTATATGTCTGTTTTTCTGCCAATACCATGCTGTTTTGATTACTATCCCTTTATAGAATAGTTTGAAAGCAGGGAGTGTGATACCTCTGGCTTTGTTCTTTTTTCTCAGGATTCCTTCAGCTATTTGGGGTCTTTTGTGGTTGTATCCAAATTTGAGGATTTTTTTGTTCTATATCTGCAAAAATGCCACAGGGATTTTGATAGGGATTTTATTGACTCTGTAGATTGCTTTGGGTAATATGGACATTTTTAACATTGTTAATTCTAATTCCTGAGTGTGGAATATCTTTCCATTTCTTTGTGTCATCTTCAATTTCTTTCATTCATGTCTTATATCTTCAGGGTACAAGTCTTCACCTCCTTTATTATATTCTTTGGTTTTTATTATTTTTGTTGAGATTATAAATGAGATTCTTGATTTCTCTTTCTAATAGTTTGTCGTTAGCATATAGAAACGTAACATTTTTACATATTTATTTTGTACTCTCCAGCTTTACTGTATTCATTTAGTATTCCTAATAGGTTCTTGTTTTTGTGTGGGGGGGTGGGTTTGGTAGAGTCTTTAGGGTTTTCTGTATATAAATCATGCCATCCACAAATAGGGATGATTTTACTTCTTTCTTTCAAATTTGGATGCCTTTTATATCTTTTACTTACTGCCTAATTGCTCTGGCAAGGCCTTCCAATACTGTGTTGAACAAAACTGGCAAGAGTGGGCATCTTTGTCTTGTTCTTCATCTTAAAGGAAAAGCTTTCAGTTTTTCATCATTGCTGTGATGTTAGCTGTGTTTTTTGTAATATTTAGCCTTTATTATGTTGAAATATTGTACTTTTCCTTCTCTACTCATTTTATTGAAAGTTTTTGTCACAAATGGGTGTTGAATCTTATAAGATGCTTTTTCTGCATCCATTTGGATGAGGATATGATTTTTTAATCTTTCATTTTGTTAATGTGGTTTATCATGTTGATTCATTTGTGGATGCTGAACCATCCTTGCTTCTCTGGAATAAATTGCATTTGATCATGGTGTGATTTTTGTTTTGTGGTTACCATGAGATTGATATAAAATATCTTATTAAATGAAAGAATCTTTTTTAGCCCTAGCTGGTGTGGCTCAGTGGATTGAGCGCCAGCCTGGGAACCAAAGGGTCACTGGTTCAATTCCCAGTGTACGGCACTTGGCACATGCATGGTTTGCAGGCCAGGCCCCCAGCAGTGGGCGTGTGAGATGCAACCACACATTGATGTTTCTCCCCCTCTCTTTCTCCCTCCCTTCTCCTCTCTAAAAATA